GAGTACTGTCGCGAGTCGCACTCGCTCTTTCATTTTGCAATGTTTCGCTTCTTTGCCCTGTTTTAATAATGATTCTTCAGTCTTACAGGTGAAAAATGCGAAACTGAGAAATTGAGAAACAAAAAAAGTCTGATGATCTCAAAAAGATCTTTGTTTAAGAATAATCCCAGCAGTACTAAAGCGAGCAGAAACATATTTTTTTTTCAAAGCTGATAAAGTTTTTATGTCTCCGTCAAGAAACATGCACGACACCAAAATAAAAGATTCACTTTTTTTATTTTCCTATTTTTCTCCAAATCAAGGATCTTGTGTACCATTCCAAGTAAACGAATCGGAACGCCATGAAGATCTATAAAATGACAGATCGTCTCGAAACCCATTTCTTCTGCCCACATGCCTCCGAGTATTTTGTTATTTGCTTAAGGGCTCCGAAAACAGATTCAAGTAGGGTAATCGTCTTCTTGGCCGCTCTTTTGCGGATGCCGGAACGCGGTTTTGTGTCGCCTGATGAGGGGTTCTTCAATCGTTAGCAGTCGGCATTCTTTGGTGAGAAGGTAGTGTGTAGACCCCCCGATTCATCCATAGTATATCTCAAAGTGGGCTTTTGTCTGTTTGGTTTTTTTCTTCTCGGGGAAAGATGTAATTTGAGACATGACAGATACGAAAATCTAAATATAACCAGAAGCCTCGCTTTCGTTTCGCGATAAACTTGTCGGGTCAACCCGCCAGATGACCGGGTAGTTTACATTCTGCGACGTCTGCCATTTGTTGATAGGAGGCTATTCATCAATCTCAAGGGATCTTCGTGGGTCGATAACATGTAGAGTCGGGGATTAAACTTCAACAGCCATTCAATTCCTGTAATGGCTACTTTTTCAGTCATGAAAATGTTCAACTCGTTCATCAATTTTATTTCAGTTTTGAGACTCGATTTACGATAAATTTTTTTCTGATTTAGACTTTCAAATTTTTTTGTTTACTGTCGTCAGAGAACATCCCTATTCTTTATATTCGATTAGGTCATTTTTTTCCAATAGAAATAAAAAAGATTTTCCAAATAATGCAGTTTAAGAAAAGGTTGAATTACTTGCAGGATTCAATCCACGTCTCAAAGAAAAAAACCATTTCCTTATTTTTTTCGATCTGAACTCTGCAGAAATCACTCTATAGGTAAAGAAAGGAGGAAGCGTCATTGAAAAATACTAGGAGCTGAAAAAGGGAAAACAAATGATTTTGTGTGTATTGCAATAAATGGTTTTGCTTGAAAGGTTCAACAAGATTTACTAGTTTTTCGGATTCCGGTCTTAATCGGATCTTGCAAAAAACAGATGAATCTTGAGCTCTTTAATATCTTCTTTTCTCCCTCCGTTTTTTTTCAAACTTTCATCTTGTTTTTAACCCAGCCGAACGTCCTTCTAGGCCAGGTATTAGCGTCTCTTCTGTTTTTCAAAATCGATTTTTGTCTACACCTTCTTTCAACGTTAGTCCTTGATAAAATCTTGGTCCAGAGGCCTTTTCAGGCTTTTCGATTACCTTTTCGAATTTTCCCTTTTTCATTTGTTTACCAGTTTCAATTCATTTAGTAGATTCGGATAACTTTTTACAAGAATGACGTTTGAGCAAAGCTTTTAAGATTAAGTTTATGATCAACTTTGTGGGAAAACCTGAGTAGCTTGAAAACACTATGATAAAGTTAGGTTTCCATTTTTTTTCGCCCTCATCAACAAGCCTAAAACCTTAAACTTTTTATTTAAAAGAAACTATTCATCTTTGAGACTGTCGAAAACTCGGCCAATTGCAAAAAAAGTGATTCATAAAAAAACAATGTTATTAAAGGCTCATGGGAAGCCGTCGCAATAGTTCAGACACCCGTACACTATCGATTGCTATCTGAACTGCAAATTCGTTATTTTTTGTTTGGCAAACCTTTTTTACTTGTTTTAGAAATAAAGAAGCTTTTTATTTCAGCATTCCATCCGTTTATCTTGTGTTTTCATGTTCTGCCACGGATTCTACTTTTTAAGCATCGTGTATTTCATCGAAAATAACTTAAATACCGGAAGCTTTCTTGAAAAAAAATATTTTATGCAACAGAAGCCCTCTTGCTTTCATTCTCAACAAAGAAGATTTCTCATTACGTTTTTTCTATTGAAAAGTCTCGTCTAGTGATCGATTTTCTCATTTTCCGGCCTGCTGTCCGAGCGGCGTTATCGAAGTGATAAGAATCAGTAGAGCAGTCTCATTTAATCAAGGAAAACTTCTTCTGGCCTGACAAAAATTTTTACTGTCAAACCTGGTGTTAGGGTTCTGCAAAAGGGTGCAAACAATACTAAGAAAACCTTTTGAGATTTTGAATTTTTAGCAGCGACTTCCGCTCTGGTAGCTGCAGTACCTTTTCGCGTGGAATAATTATTGCGCGTGAAGATTATCCTCGAACAACGCCTTCTTTGATCTTTTTCCTTCTAACAGCTTCCAGTCAAGTCATTAAGGCGGCGTTATTAGAGGATTATTGTCACGCGCAATTATTAATCGACGCGAAAGATACTGTAGCCACAGAAGCGAAGAACGATTTTCGACATTCAAACAAGATTTCAACCAGTAGGAGGTTGGAAGGTCAACAGAAGGTTTTGAAAATGCATTGGGAGAGTGTCGAAGGCTGTTGTAAGATTTCTCGCAAGTCAAAGATTGAAAATTCTCGACGGGAGCTTGCCAGCAGGTCTCTGAACGGTATGTTGAGGTGTCAATAGGAGAAAGACGTTTGTCTTACTCGAAATTTTCCAAACTTTCTTGTAATTCTGGAATTTTTAAAAACTCGCTCGTAGTGCCGAATGTTCTTCAATGTCACTCGCGTAAAACCTTCGTATACTGAAAAAGAGAAAATTTAATTGAGTTTTTAACTACAAACTGTCGCTCAGCAGAAAAATTTTAAGAGCTTATACAACTAAATGATAATGCAAAAACTTCAAACGATAAATGAAACCTCTTTTTTACTTCGATGTTATCTCATTTTACCCTTTGAAAGTTCCCGCGCATATTTTAGGCATTCTTCTCACAATATTTAGAAAGGGACACCATGTTGAATGCTCTAGCCACGCCTTCTTAGAGCCCCGCCCCTTGCTATAGCAGTCCCACCTCGCACATCTGCCTGGTGCTCCGGTCCTCCCGCTCCCCGTTTCCATATTTTTCTTGCTCTCAGTTTCCTCTTACATGGGCAGTCTTCTTAGCAAAATTTTCTGAGGGTTTTATAAATGTTTTCACATCCTACCTAAATTTTCGAGAGTTCATATGTCACCAAAACTAGAAGCATCTACGCAGGTTTTTTTTTCATTCCTGCACAGATAATACGGAACCCTTTGCTAAAATGATTTTGCATTTCCAATAGTAGGATCAGAAAGTTCCCAGTGAGCTCCTTTTTCCGCTTTTTTCAGTCTTTAAATATCGCCTCTTTTCCTTATTTCTCGTTGATTTTGTGTCTCCCAAAAGAGAAAAAAATTTTTTTTTCAGAAATTGAACTCTTTCATTTGTTCAGAAATTTGTAATTTTCCAGCTCCTCATCTACTCGTGTTCAAGAAAAACTTAATCAATAAGTCCTAATTTGAAAAATCCGGTTATACTGTCCGAAAAAAAGTATTATTTTCTTACCCAAAATCACTGTAAAAAAATCAATTTTCGCTACAATTTACCATGAATCCAAGCGTTTTTCCAAATAACTCACACAAAGAAAAATTTATTATTAGATAAGAAGAAGTTTTCAAGGAGTTGTGTATCGATCTACACAAAATCATCATAAAAAAAGTATAGAGGGGACTTTTTAAAAAGTGGCGCCTCCAGCATTGGTGCATACACAGTTCACGCTCACGATCGTTTGCAGACTTTGAACTCCTTTTGTCATCATTTTTTTTTGTGTAGACATTCTGACATGAATTCATCACAGCATACTTTTTTTAGTTTTTTTCTATATGATATATCTCTTTCGTTTTCCTTATTTACCACTTCTGAATCATTTTCAACTTGTATTAAAAGTTGTTTAACATAAAATTATTCCATCTCGATCATTTCATCGATTTTTTTCACTTTCTTTTTTGAACGAAGATTAAAATAAACTTTTTCAGCACACACTCATTTCTCTTGCGGCCGGCTTTTCCATCTGTTCGTGAAAAAAATGGTGAGTTCAGTCCATTTCAATTTTTTCTTTCAATAGTCTTTTTTCAGGTGTGCTCGAACTTGTGTTTTAAGCTATAGGTTTTTTGAACATTGGCAATTTTTCTCACCTGGGAGTTCAGATTAATATTTTTATTTTTCTCCCCAGGCATCCCAGTTACGGATTTTTTTTCCTAAATTTTTTTCTATTCAATTCAGTTATCTGAAATTTTTTTTTCACCTGGGTGCAAGGCATAAATTTCATGCTTTCCTCAGGCCCCTGAACACTTTTTGAAGAGAAAGTTTTTGTTTTTTTACAGTTTAAAAACAAAAAAACCAGCAAATTTTTAACTATTTATTAATCGAAATTTTTTTCAAAAAAATATTTTTTTAATAATTGAGTATGATGTTTTAAATAGCTTGACTTTAAAAATATTATGATCAAAGTGAGGTCAATAAGAAAAATAATTAAAATTGAAATTAAAAACACGAGCCGGCCGCGATAAAAAAACAGAGAGGAATGCACGAAAGAAAAGAAGAGAATGATGTACAAGATGGAAAGAAGAATGAAAAAAAGGACCAACAAATAACTATTTTACAATGTGAGTTTTTTTTCTATTTGTCTCTCAAAACAGGAATGCGATTCCACTCGAAATCAAAACGAGTCAACAGTGGCCGTCTAAAAGAGACGCCAGGCGAAAAGAGTGTGACTCTTTTTCTGCCGTCTCTGAGACCATTTGTTCTCTTCTTGAATTCAAAAAAAAGTCCATCGAAATCAGTTTTTTTTACAGACAACTCAAAAAAAAAAGATTGGATCCAAAAATGATGTTTCCTCTCAGAAATCGACTCCGAAGAAATTGATGGGCAATAATTTGGATACCGATTTCCTGAGGGCTAATCACTCGATGGAAGATCAGGACCAAGTCGGAAATCAGGTGACAATTGTACTTCTTTTGACTTGACTTTTTCAAAAAAGCAACACTTTGGTTTTTTTGAAAATTTTTTTGAAGGTTTTAAAAACCCCTCCGACGGTCCCAAGGGTCGTAAAAAAATTTTCCAAGATTGAAGGATCCTAACTACTTGGGAATTCCAGAGTGGTCCCTATAGGGGTTGAGGAAAAAAACAACCCCTACTTTAGACCCTAAAACTCAAGTAGACCCTATAGGGTCTTTTATTTTTCATTCAAAAAGTGTTTTCACTATAAAAATTCTTTTTTGCTTGGAGTTCATAACAATTATCGACTAGCTTGTCCCCTATAGGGGTTACTAACTAAAACCCCTATAGGGACCACTTTTCAAGCTTTAGGGATCCCTATAGGGGTCTTACAACTTCATTTAAAAAACTATCGCCGGCAGAAGGATTTCTCCGGCTCGTTTTCCTAATTTTTAATCTAAATATGCATTCCACTTCAGTTTTTGTTTTTTGAAATTGTTTTTTTCAGAGAGACTTCGAGAGAGAAAAAGGCCAAGTGGGATTTTTTTGCAAGATTTGGGCTTTGAGGTAAGCTTGGTTTGTAAAAAAAAATTACATTTAAAAAATTTAAACGTAGTATCATTTTCAACCTTTTTTTTCTGATCACAAATCTTCAGCGTTAAAAAAAGGTCTTGCGAAATGTTAAGGGATGTAGAGCTACTGTAGATATTTCTCAAGATGCCGTACTTTTTGGGTTAACAAAGTCGATTTTTCCCGCTTTTTGGTATTTAGTTCTAAAATTTCCGATTTTCAGTGCCAGCCAGGACCGAGTTATGAGTATCCAACGAACACGGACCATCACTCGGAAAAAGCGCATGGAGCGGTGAGTTTCCTTATTAGGAGGAACAAGAAAACATTTATCGAAAACTCGGTGAGAAAAAAAAAATAAACGGTTTTGCGCGTCAGCATTGTCGCGAGCTAGCTGCCGCTTATTTTTCTTTCAAAAACTATAAGAACTCCAGAGTGGTCCTTATAGGGGTCTGGAGGATAAACAACCCCTGGAGGGGTCGAAAAAGTGATCTCTACAGGGTTAAATTTAAGGTGGTCCCTATAGGGGTTTAACGTCGGGCCCCCTAAAGCTCAAGTGGACTTTATAGGGGTCACTTAATTTATTTTAGAAACGTTTATTTATTTAGTTTTTCTCATGGATACTTCTTCGCTTACAGTTCATAACAATTATCGACTACCATGTTCCCTATAGAGACTACTAACTGAAAGCCATATAGGTACCACTTGTGCCTTATAGGGGTTGGTAAAGTTGTCGCTTGAGGGGACCCTCCAAGGGCCTTTAAGATTGCCCCTGTAGGGAACAGTCTGGTGTTCCTAAGTGTGCTACAAAACATTAGGATCACCTTCGGTTCAAACTTTTCTTCCACGTCTCAACTCTGAATTTTTTTTTTGAAATTTTCAGAAGGATTTTGGGCGAAGCAAGAGATGATCAACCGCATTTCGGACGCAGTAATTCAGGAGGTGTCGACAGCAGGAATAGGAAACGTGGTATGCTAGAAATCGACAGAAAATTGAATAAGTTAAAAGTAACTCGGACAGCAATTGATTATATGTTAATTAGAATAACCATGAAATCGACCGCGTGAAAGTAGCGCATCTCTAAGCTTTTCAACAGTAACCCAAAGTGGTTAGAAGAGTTCCGAAAGTTGCATCAGCTATCGATTGTTTCACATTCAGCATCGCAATAACGAAAAACCGTGAATAGAGCTACAGTAGGACAAAACGGAAGCCATTTCTTGTCATTTTTGACGTCATAATACCTGGAAAAAAACGCATACGGTACTTTCACCAGCATCGAAAAACCCCGCGCAAAAAATGGAAAAAGCTCTCATGTTAAAAAAATGGAAAAAGCTACTGTATATAGAGCTTTTTTTGCGCACTTCGCATTAAGACCTGTCGTTTTTTTCTTTTTCAAAATGCCATTTCAGAGAGAGAGCTAAGTGTGCAACCTCGTTTCGGTTGGAAAAACGAAAACTGCCGGAAGGTCCTGATGGAAGTGAAGCAACAAGAAAGTAAATTGAAGAAATTGAAACTGTATCGGCTTTTTTTCGAAAAACCCTTTGATCATAATCTTTTTAATGTCAAGCTACTAAAAAAACAACACTCAATTGTTATAAAATGTTTGAAAAATAAAAATAATTACTTCTGCGATTTTCTGCTACCTTCAAATCCTGTGTATTTGCAAATTGAAGCAAATTTCTGCAAAAAAATAGTTCAAGTCGAAGTGGATCCAAAACAGTGATTTTTTTAGTTCAAATGAAAAAGAAGTAAATGAGGAAACTTTTTTTCTTAACAAAGGAATTTACCATGGGGATTTCTCTTTTTTTCCAAAGTAAACATAATTTTTTTATATCGTCACGGAAATTTCTTTAATTTTTTTGAACTTAAAAACCACTTTCCATCCGGAAAAAAGTATCGGTGAATCAGAAAGAGCTAAAGTTAGGGAATACGCATTTCAATGAAATGTTTCTATTTTCCATTTTTTCAGTTCTCGTTTTCTCAACGAGTCTGCAAGAGTTGACTCACTTTCAAAAACCCTAACTACTGCTCTTCTTTCAATTTCTTCCAAAGGTACGTTTCCATAAACGATAAACGGAGTTTCTTCCTTTGTCGGTTTTTTGGTCTGGCGGCTTTTGAGGCCTGGAGTACACATAAGAACAGGCGCATCGCCATCTTTGCGCAATAAACTTTTCGGGTCAAGACGCCAGATGACAGGGTAGTTTACACTTTGCGAAACCCGTTTTTTGGGTACCTAGGTCTCCGATTCCGGGTTGAACAAGGCCTTTGAGATCGAGGTGCGCCCCGGGCGACTGATTCGACGAAAAAAAATACGCCAATAACCGCCTTTGTCTGCTATATTTCATTCAACAAGAAATTAAAGAGAAAAAGACGTGAAACATCGGAACAAATTCATGAAAAATTGTAAATGGACGAAGTTCTATGAAAAAAACTGAACATGCACATTTATTTTTACGTCGTGAATACGCAATTATTTTTTTAAACTCGTAATCAGTTTGAACAAGTAATGGGCAAAAATCAGATCAGTTTACCGAGAACCATAACCTAAATGAGAGGTGAAATCAATAAATTGTATGAACTCTTCAGAGCTCTAACATAAGGAAAAAAAAGTTAGAAACTAGCAATTCAATTATTTCTGAGACCTCTACACTGCTTTTGAACCTTGCGTCAATAATATCAAACTTTTTTTCTGCCATTGCGAACTCAACACCTGCGAACCTGCGGATATCCACGCCTTTCGATCAATATGTGTTTATTTTAATCTTGGAATTTATTTCACACGGCACTTTTTTGGACGACCCATGCTCATATTTCTTTGTAAAATGTAGTGTGTAGTGTGCATGCACTGTGGCGCTCTCGCACAGGCATGTAAACTTAGCGAGAATGAAAATTATCTCTATCTTTCCGATATTCAGTTATATCATCCACTCTCTGGCGGCGGTTTGTAGTTTTGCGGAATCATTTTGAACACGGCAACAGAAATATAGCGTCTTTTCAATCTGTGAGATTGATTCGTCTCATGAACAATTGAACTCACTTTGAAACTTTGAAATTTTTATTCAGTCTCCAGAGAAGTTACTCTACTGAGTCATGGAATCATAGAAGAGTTGTTTTTCGCTTCGCGAAACTGTCGATGATCAAGAAGGGCGCGTAGAGCAAACTTTTTCTGTGAAAGTAGAGGAGTTTTGTGCGCCCCGACGGTTACTGCTTCTCCATGTAGGATCAGAACGGCTTTTTCTTCCACTAACCAAAACGTCTTCGTAAAATTTATATCTGCAATGTTTCTATGATTAGAAACCTGGAAGGGACCTTCAAAGTGCTTTGTATTTCTCTAAGAACGTTACGGAGAGCGTAAAAATATGCCAATTTGTAATTACTTGAGCTGTTTCAGAGTATACATAAAACCCATTTCTGGCTGTTACTCACTTATTTTTTGTCCTATAGATATTCCTAATTTAAAATTACTGAAAAAAAAATTCAAAAACTCATTTTTCACTGTGTCTGCAAAAGATGTCGTCTAGAAAGAGTATTCTCGCCTGTTGCCTTTCTGATAATAACTTGACCATCTTAGAGGGAAACCGAGTTGTTACCGATCTTTGTTCTGTCTTTTCATACAATTCTTTGGCTGATTTTGATAGATTTTTATTGCTCTTTAATCACCTAATATGCTTCTCTCTTTTGTTTACGTGCCATCCTTCAGAAACATTTAGCTTGAATCTACTGATTTTTACAATCCAAGCATTTTCAATGTTATATCCCTGACATTTCTTTGATATTAATTGTTTGCTCCTTTCCAGAAGAAAAAAATTGATTGTAAGCGCTCTAATATTTATACCTTTTTATAGAGCATAAAAAAATTTGAAGAAACCTATGTAGTCTATTCAACTCGATTTGCTAGGCGAGACGGAGCAGTGTGCGAGACGCGTATTTCACGAGTTTATTTCAAGCGCCACTGACTATTTGAAAAAAAGTCGATCACCGCTTTTTTTGTATCTTTCATACTATTTCCTAATGTACAAGAGTAATAAATTGATAAGGAATAAAAAAATAATAAATTAAAAAAAGCAATGAACGAACTCTCCGAATAGTCACTAGCGGTTGAATTGAACTCTTGCCAAGAATCGCGAACGTTACGCATCCGGCGTCATTCTTTGCCTCCTTTGTCGTTCGAGTCGGAAAAAGTTCATGCCATGTTCCAAGTAATTCCGGCGATTTCAAATTAGACGCGTTATTCGTTTAAAATGGTTTCGGGAAATAGGCACATCCTGTACTCCGGGAAAACGCGGAAAAAATGAGCCCTACAACGATATATCCTTTGATATGCATTTTTCCCGCAACTTTTGCGCGGGAATTCAAAATTTTGGAGTTATATGGGCATTTTCTACACCAATTTCGAATTTGCGCGTAAAAATTTCGTATCTAACGATATACACTGCGTTCAATAAGGATGGGACCCCCTTCAATTTTGGACTTTCTGGCAAAATACGGAAAGATATCAAAAATCTGTAAGTGCCGTTCGATTCAGAGTACAAAATAACCTCCAGAGCCAAACTTTCATTATCCTGGCACTCTTCCTACGAAATTGCCATCGAAAAAACGGTTTTTCGACCGTTCAATAAGGATAGGACCACCTGGAATTTTGACTTTCATTGGTATTTTTTGGTCAATTTCTCTTTTTGATGAGTGGTTTTTTTTTTCATATCATTTGTTTCCAAGTTTTCTACGGTTTTCCCTTCACCAGTTACAAGATGGTGTATCATGACCGAATTTCCGACTGTCGTCGTTTTCGACCGTTTTTCTTTCTGTATGTGGTTGGATTGGCGGTGTACCGTTTCTCAAAGAGTTTTTTTGAAGGTGATTTCATTCAAAGTACTGGGAAAAAATCACTCGCTTAAATATTTTGATGCAAACTCAAAAAACGTCATTTTTTTCCCTATTTTTCGATATAAAAATATTTTTTTAAACCTGGAAAAACATGAAAGGAAAAACCGTAGAAAACTTGGAAACAAGTGATATGAGAACAAAAAAACCACTCATCAAAAAAAGAAATTGACAAAAAAATATCAATGAAAATCAAAATTTCCAGGTGGTCCAATCCTTATTGAACGGTCGAAAAACCGTTTTTTCGATGGTATTTTCGTAGGGAAAGTGCTAGGATAATGAAAGTTTGGCTCTGGGGGTTATATTGTACTCTGAATCGAATGGCACTTACAAATTTTTAATATCTTTCAGTATTTTGCCAGAAAGTCCAAAATTGAAGGGGGTCCCATCCTTATTGAACGCAGTGTATCGTTGTGGGATTCAATTGTTTTTCTGCCCTTCTCAAAATCTTTCAAACAAATAACGCGTCTATTTTGAAATCGCCGAAATCACTTTGAACATTGATATACAAGGAAAGGTCGAAAACAGCAGAACTCGTTTTTCCACATGGTGTTGTAATTGAGTTAAAAACTTCAGCAGAATGCTAAAAACAACATTCTTCGAAGCTCCAGTAATTTTCAGAATGATTGAACCCCTTACAAGAAAGTTTCGACCGAAACCCCGTTTTTTCGTAACTTCTCTGACGATACAGCATCAACTCTTACAACAGTTCCCTTTTGTTCGAATTCAAAAAAAAGGCCAATTTATGTAACGCTGTCTTGCCTCAGCACCAAAATCTGATTAAAAAACTAATTCTCAAATTCAGTGATCTTGGTCGGGATGGTGATAGCATCACCTCGATCGACGTTCGAAACTGTGCGTCTCTTCTTCCGGCGACCCAACCTCGCGAAAGGAAGAAAAACTAACGCGAAAGAGGACATGGTGGTGAGTTGCCTCCTAATCCTTACTTATAGTATAGAAATGAAAAAGGAAATGTTGAACTTAATTATACATACATCTCGGCAGACTGAAGTCCATTCTCAGCTGAAATAGAGCTTTTTTGAATGTGAATGATGCGACGAAAAAAAAGTAATTACTAAGAAATAAAACTTTTATTCCATTTTCCAATCAAAGATACTCATGTTGGCTTGGCAAAACTTTCTTTTTCTTAGTACATTGTTCATGCTGAATTGATAGACTTGGTCATTGAAAATAGGATCTATTTTCAGCGGATAGACTGCAAGCAGAAGTCTACAGAAAGAGGCTGCTCTGCGAGGAAGAGCCCGACAGCGACAAAGTGTCGCGGTCGCGTGAACAGTCGGGGGCATCGAACTCTCGATGTCTCCGCGCTACGTGTTCTCGTCGGGCAAAGGACCTGACAGCGATGTTCGTCGGGATGGTGATTCCTCACCATTAACAGTGACCAGAAGTGAGTTTTTGATCCTTTTGGCATTTTAGAAAAGCAAAAGGGGGTTGTTAAACATCCTCCAAAATCGAAAGAGGTTTATCAAATACTTTTTTCAGACATATTGGTCAGGATGGTGATTTTACACCAAAAATGAGACGGCCAGAAGTGGAAGAACGTGTCTTGCGGTGGGATAAACTTCTCGCTCACCCCCATTCGCCTTCGGAAAACACAAACAATAGTGAGAACTTTTATCTCTTTTTTAAGCCTTCTGATCCTTTTCCAGTTACGGTCATACAACGGCTGTGAGACTTCTAAAAAGAAACACAGGGGCAAACGCCGTAATGTTGATTGGGATCACTCACCTTGAACGGCCTTCGAGATGATAAGACAGGTAAAATTGAAAAGTTTCTCAATTTTCAAAAAAAGGTATTTAGAAAAAAATAACTTTTTTTACAGACATGTTGGACAGGATGGTGATTTTACACCAAAAAAATGAGGCGCAGAGAGCGGAAGCCTTCCTTCTCAGGGTAATTTGGATCACGGAAAAGAAACAGGTTGAGAATGGAATTTTATTATTAAATAAAAAAATGGAGAAAAAAATTATAAGGAAATGACAAATCTAGTTGCGTTGAAAGATTTTCTGGAGGAAAAAAATAAAAAAACAAATTGAGCGAACAGTTCTTTGCCGGAAAACTCATTCAATTCTTCATTTTGATGGACATTTTGATGTTTTCCAAACTCCTCCCTGAACAAATTATTGCAGCACGATCAGCGTCATCAACTGGAAATACACGCCTTTGAAGGATTCTTATTGGTTTCGCTGGTCCTGTAATTTTTTTTTTAATTTTGGAAATGCCTGATACATCCTGATTCTTCTTCCAAATATTTCAAAATTTTATCACAAATTTTCTCTTGAACGTTTTATTGCTGTTTCCAATAATAAAGTTGTCGATACTCCAGTTTGAACTTTTTTTCTCCTCGACCTCTGTGTAATTCAGAGACAAATATTTATTTAGTATTTATTAAATATTTATTCCCTTTTCAGCACTTGTCAGATTTTTTTAAATAAGAAAAACAGAATAAAGGCTGGAAAAAAATATCTCAAAAAGAATAAATCTCATGAACTTGTCTCGATTTTTTTTCTTTCTTTTTGATGGACAGATTATTGCAGATATAAACGGTTATTGGCGTCTTTTTTTCTTGTCAAATCAATCGACCGTGGCGCACCTCGTTCTCGAAAGCCCTGCTCAACCAGGGATCGGACATTGAGGAACCTCCAGGATAAAGGTTTTTTTACTCATATAGTTTGCAACTAAGACAAAACAAAAAAAAATTAGGGTTCATGATACAATTGGAATTACATGGCGTCCGGGGGTTTCGCTCCTAGATTTTTCTCATCTATATCATTTACATTGTGGATGATTTTGTCTACTTCACCCTGACGATCTCAAAATTTTTCCTCCGATTATTCTTCCCTCTCTTACTGATTTACATAATAACCCTAAGTAACTGAAAAAGTGGTGCACAAACTGGCGAATGGGGATTGCTGTCGGAAAAACTTTTGCTATTCATTTGTGCAAACATAATCTTGGAATTTATTTCACACGGCACTTTTTTGACGACCCATGCTCATATTTCTTTGTAAAATGTAGTGTGTAGTGTGCATGCACTGTGGCGCTCTCGCACAGGCATGTAAATTTAACGAGAATGAAAAATTATCTCTAACTTTCCGATATTCAGTTATATATATATATATTATATATCCACTCTCTGGTGGCTGTTTGTAGTTTTGCGGAATCATTTTGAACACGGCAACAGAAATATAGCGTCTTTTCAATCTGTGAGATTGATTCGTCTCATGAACAATTGAACTCACTTTGAAATTTTGAAATTTTTATTCAGTCTTCAGAGAAGTTTACCTACTGAGTCACGGATTGATAGAAAAGTTGTTTTTCGTTTCGCGAAACTGTCGATGATCAAGAAGGACGCGTAGAGCAAACTTTTTCTGTGAAAGTAGAGGAGTTTTGTGCGCCCCGACGATTACTGCTTCTCCATGTAGGATCAGAACGGCTTTTTCTTCCACTAACCAAAACGTCTTCGTAATCTTCATATCTGCAATGTTTCTATGATTAGAACCCTAGAAAGGACCTTCAAAATGCTTTGTATTTCTCTAAGAACGTTACGGAGAACGTAAAATTATGCCAATTTGTAATTGCTTGAGCTGTTTCAGGGTATACATAGAACCCATTTTTGACTTTTACTCACTTATTTTTGTTTTATAGATATTCTTAATATAAAATTACTGAAAAAAAATCCAAAAACTCATTTTTCATCGCGTCTGTGAAAGATTTATAGAATGAAAACTTCACACCGGTTGCCTTTCTGACAATAACTTGACCACTCAAGAGTAACTTCGAAATGTTACGGAACTATTTCTGCCTTCTTTTGACAATTCTCCGGCTGATTTAATAGATTTTCATTGCTTCCTGGATGCCTGGTACGACCCACCGTTTCTATAATTGTTCATCCTTTGGAAACATTGTGCGTGATTCTGCCGAATTTCAGTTCATGCATTTTTGATGTTTGGGATGGTTATCCAGAAAATTTTTTTGATAGCAATTGTTCGCTCCATTCGCTAAGCTTTTAAAAGTTTGCACTTTTTTCGAAAAACTCCGTCAAATTTTACAGCTTGAGAAAAGACGTCTCCGAAAGCGAACAAGCGCGAGGCAATCGCCGAGGGCCACCAAGACTCCTGAGCCGACAATCTCCGCGAGTGGAAGAAAAACGAACGCGGAAGAGGACACTGTGGTGAGCCTTTTTAAAATTTCTACATTCAAATACGATTTTGTCTATGAAGCATACAAAGAAAGTGCCAAGAAAAGCGGAAACTAAATTTTCCACAAATTATTGTGAAGGAACAGGCCATAGAGGTTTTTCAAAGGCATTTTTTGAGCATACAGTACCGTCAGAAAAGATATGAAACAACGCAATTTTGCGAATGAATCTCTTATGAGGAAAAAAAAAGTTTTGACCAAAACTCCGTTTTCTTCGTAACTTCTCTGACGGGACAGCATCTACCTTTACAAAAGTTCCTTTTCGATCGAATCAAAAAAAAAAGTGTCAATAAGTGTATCGCGGTCTTGTGTTGCTTCTGGTATACTTCAAATTTAGTCCATTTCACGGTTATTCCTAACAATAAAAAAATAAAGTGTTGATGAAATTTGACTCTATAAATTTTTTTCAGTAAGAAGTTTGATAAAAAAATAATTTTTTTCCATTTCAGTGATCTTTGTCGGGATGGTGATACAATCATCTTGTACGGCGTTCAAAAACTGGGCGCCTCTTCTTCCGGCTACCCAACCTCGCAAAAGGAAGAAAAAAACGAACGCGAAAGAGGACACGGCGGTGAGTCGCCTTCAGATATTCTATACATGTTTTAGCGTGGAAACAACTAATTTTAATGTGAATTAAATCTGCCGAACCATTTTTTTCCGCAACTTTTTTTCTTTTATCAAACCTTTGATCATAATATTTGGAAAAAAACGAGTTGATGAAAAAATCACTTTCATTTTATCCGAAAAGTAATTCAAATTTTTCCAATATGAGAAGAGCGAAATCTCCATCTTCGCGTTTTTCAAGTAGTTGTTCTACTTATGAATAGAGTTTTCTAATAGGTAGGAATGAAGAGTTGAAAGTGTGAACTGCTTGTCGTCATGATATGTTTCGAAAAAGCTCTGAAATAACCGGAAAAAAAACGGTAATGATGCACGTGCTTTCATTTTGCAACGGAATGCGATCAAAAACGATTCTTCAATTTCAGGTATCTTGGTCAAGATGGTGATCCGACACCTTGAGTGGTGCTCGCAAGTGAGTGCCCCTCTTTACGGTGGCTCAGGGAGAAGAGGAAAAACCCAGGTAAGATTGATCATCTAAGAAGAAACTTGAAGAAGAATGCAAACTAATTGTTTTTTTTTCAGACATGCGGGTCGGGATAGTTATGTTCCACCTCTTGCGGAAACGCTGCTCCGCGAAAAAGAGTCCGACAGCGACAAAGTGTCGCGGTCGCGGAAGCTGTGGGGGCATCGAACTCTCGATGTCTCCGCGCTACGTGTTCTCGTTGGGCAAAAGATCTGACTTCGATGTTTGTCGGGATGGTGATTCGTCACCATGAACAGTGCACAAAAGTGAGTTCTTGTTGGGTTCGGTAGTTAAACAAGTAGAGATCAATAAACTTGAAGTTAAAAAGAGGCTTATTGTGAAACGTTTTTTCAGATATGTTGGTCGGGATAGTGATCACACCACACAAAGCTTTGTGAAAGCGGTCAAAGTCGTCCTCGAAGGATGTGGACAGCTTCAGCGCATCGTAATCCATCGTTCGGAATTCAACGATGAGAGATTGAAGTGAGTCAATCATCGTTGAACATTGAGGAAAATAAAGAGTTCAAAAAAAACCTTTCACTTTCTCGTCTCCAAACAATGTATCAACTATAACACAGCTGAAATGCCTTCTTTCTCAATATTTATGTATTCAGGCGTCCACTGCGACCGCCATCGCCAAAAGCTCTCAGGGACGAGACCATGCCGAGGGTTCATGGCTGCTGATTTCAACGTCATAGAAAAAAATCGGTCTGGTGAGCTTTTTACCTAGAAAGTATTTTTAATAAATTTTCATAATTTCAGGTATGTTAGTTGATACAAAAGCGAAATTTCCATTTATCCTTTTTTTTCAAGTACCTGTTCTGCTAATCAATATTCGGTGAAAACTCAGAAGAAACAACAAAAACAAAGCGCTTTTGTCCTGCACCAAACTTTGGTTGGGAATCGATTTATAAATCTCAGGGATCTTGGTCGGGATTGTGATCCGACACCTCAAATGGTGCTCGAATGCGGGCGTCCATCTTTCTCGTTGGCTTCGGAAGAGGAGGAAAAAAAATACAAGTAAGACTTGAAACCTTAGACGGAACTAGAAGGAGAACGACAAATGATCGTTTTTATTCCAGATATCCTTGTCGGGATGGTGATTATCCACCTCCTGCGAAAACCTACAGCAAGAGACTGCTCCACGAGAAAGAGCCCGACAACGACAAAGTGCCGCGGTCGCGGGAGCGGCAGGGGGCATCGAATTCTCGATGTCTCCTCGCTACGTGTTCTCGTCGGGCAAAAGATCTGACTTCGATGTTCGTCGGGATGGTGATTTGTCACCATTAACAGTGCACAAAAGTGAGTTCTTGTTGGGTTCGGTAGTTAAACAAGTAGAGATCAATAAACTTAAAGTTAAAAAGAGGCTTATTGTGAAACGTCTTTTCAGATATGTTGGTCGAGATAGTGATCTCACCGCACAAAGTTTCGTGAAGGCGGTGAAAGTCGTCCTCGAAGGATGTGGACAGCTTCAGCGCATCGTAATCCATCGTTCGGAATTCAACGATGAGAGATTGAAGTGAGTCAATCATCGTTGAACATTGAGGAAAATAAAGAGTTCAAAAAAAACCTTTCACTTTCTCGTCTCCAAACAATGTATCAATTATAATACAGCTGAATTGCCTTCTTTCTCAATATTTATGCGTTCAGGCGTCCATTTCGACCGCAATCGCCAAAGATTTTAATATCGAATGAGACTGTAGAGCTAAATGAGGCTCATTAGAAAAGAAAAATATTGTTGCACCGAAAGATTTTTTCGAGGAAAAAGTAGGAAACTTGAATGATTGGTTTGTTTCCGCAGAACATATTTAGTTTTTCATTCTTCTGGACGTTTTGATGTTATCTTAACTCCTTTCTAAACGAATCATTGCAGCACGATCAGTGTCATCGGCTGGAACTGCGCACTTCTCGAAGGATTCTCAAAGGTTCCGCTGGCTGCGTAATATAAATTCTTCTCGAGGAATGTGAAAAACGCAAGGCGTAAGCATCTTTTCGCAATTTTGCAGATTGAATTTGATTTTTTCAGGTAGGAGCGACGGCTCTTAATTAGGCTCCGACTTTTGAAGATTCTTCTTCAATATAAAGACAAAACCGCGTGTAGGAGCTTCAAAAACGGACGCAGTGGAGGATGTGGGGAAAAAGAGTTCGACCGGGGCCCAGAACTCTTTCTCGCAAATATTTTCTTTCGTTTTTGGTCAACAGTCCGCACGTCCTGAATTACGTGTTTTTTCCGTATCAATAGTTCTTCAGCACGCCAATAAAGAGCGAGCAAACGTATTAGAAGTTTTCAAATATGACAGTTCTAAACTTTGGAGATCATTTGTGGATGTTCTGAAGGCGTAAGGTTGTGTAGTTTACATGAAGACCCCCATTTCATCAATTCTGTGTTTGTATGTTTCCCTCCCCCTAGAAATATAAGAATTGTTCTACTATAAGCGTTTTTGAATCCTGGCTCTGACTATTTAATAACAGAATTTTTATTTTGCTTTTTGTTTCCAAATCCCACAATTTTTTTCAATTGTTTCTGCATTATTCTGTTTTTTTCGAAAATGAATAAATTTCTTGCTTGATTAAAAAAATTATTGAAACGGTAAAAAAATTTCTACAGAAAAAAAGAGCAATACGTCAACGAAAAATTAAAACGAACAAAAACTGTTCAAAAAAAGTAATCATTTGAGGTGTGCCAGTGAAAAAAATCTAATTTCTCAACTTGAATTAACTGAAAAGAAATAAAAGAAGAAAGAAATGAAAGTAGATGGATCGAAAATTCTTAGCCGTCGAAACGACATCGATCCAGTAAACGGAAAAAAAGCTAATAACGGAGGTTCAGAAAATTCGGCGAGGAAGAAAATCTAAGTGATACCATATAATAAAATTGTGAACTCTGGTTTTACAAAGGAAAAAAATCTTCTTCAAAACTATCCGAAAAAATTGAAAAACTTTCTCAATTTGCTCTTCAGAGACTTCATCAAACGTAAAACTCGTGCAAAGAAATGAAAACTCTCCAGAAAAATGACCAAATCTTCATTCTTGCAAAGTAAACAGTCCAGAGGTCATTTTTCAATTCAAGCACTTTCAATGTTCGGAATTATATTCCCGAACATTTTTTTGATAGCAATTGTTCGCATCATGCCCTAAGCTTTTTAAACACCTTTTTTCAAAATACTCCGTCCAATTTTACAGCTTGAGAAAAGACGTCTCCGAAAGCGAGCAAGACGCAAGGTAGAGCGGCAAGGGCCTCCAAGACTTCTGAGCCAACAACCTCCGCGAGTGGAAAAAGGACGAGCGCGAAAGAGGACACGGCGGTGATTCGTACTCTGATCCTCATTTACAAATACGATTTTGACTAGAAGCATACGGAGGAAAGGCCGAAAACAGCAAAAACTCATTTTTTCACATTTTATTGTAAAGGAACTAAGAACAACTTTCGGATTTTTGAAGTTAATTCGAAAAACGTAATAAAAAAAACATACCCGTGAGTGTCGTTACAATATACAGTACCAGTCATAGAGGTTTTTTAAAGGCGTTTTTTGAGCATACAGTACCGTCTGAAAATATACGAAAAAAGGTTTTGTGCATGAATTTCTTACGAGGAATTCGATTATCTCGAAAGTTTGGAAAGCCGCGTATTTTTTTTTTCTGTGAACTGAAACTTTATCAGAATGTTTAAAATAACAATCATCACAACTCCAGAAAGTTTCAGAGAGAGAATACAGTGATCTCTGTCGGGATGGTGGTATCAACACCTTAATCGGCGTCCGAAGCTGAACGCGCTTTTTTTGATTCCTCAAATCCGCAAACGGAGGAAGGAAGAGCAAAAAATGGACACGGTGGTGAGTTGCCTTTGAATTTTCTTTCACGAATGATATTTCGACTTGAAAGCATTGAAAAGAAAAGGACATTTGTTGCCTCGGCTAATACATACTTCTCGACAGAATGAAGTCCTTTTTCAGCTGAAAAAGATTGATCTTTCTAAAAATAAGTTAGGCCCAGATTTGTTCTGCGCAATTGGGTTTAGGCTGGGTTTTTTGTCATTGTATCTTGCCAAGTCATGTTTGCGATTATCAAATTACCTCTCTTGATCAAGAAAAATTCTACCTCTTTGTTAAAATTAGAGGTTTCAACTTTTTTTGACTGTGATTGATGCGAGAAAAAAACTTTATTTATCTGAAAGAAAGTTTTTTTTTCTATTTTATATTCGAAGACACGTTGATTTTGCGCAAACTTTTTTATCTGAATTTGTTTTTGTTGCTAAATTGATAAACTTGGTCACTGAAAATAAGAACTATTTTCAGCAGATGGACTGCAAGCGGAAGTCTACTGCAAAAGGCTGCTGCGCGAGAAAGAGTCCGACAGCGACAAAGTGTCGCGGTCGCGGGAGCTGTCGGGGGCATCGAACTCTCGATGTCTCCCCGCTACGTTTTCTCGTTGGACGAAGAATCGGACAAAAATTTTTGACGGAGCGGTGATTCCTCGCGTTGAAATACGCTCGGTGGTGAGTTCTTGCTGGCTTTGACTCAGTGAAAATCTATTTTTTCAGACAATCGGGTAGAGATAGTGTTCTCATTGCACAAAGCTTCGTGAAAGCGGTCAAAACCATCTTTGAAGATAACACTGTCCTTTGGGATCGTAATCCATCGCTCGGGATTCAACGATGAGAAATTGAACAAGGTGAGTCTATTAGCGTTAAGCATATGAGGAAATAAAAAGAATTCGGGAAAAAAGATACTGAGGTGTCTGAAAATTTACTCTTTCCCTTACTACTCAGTTTTCTCTGAGGCCAACACAATTCTTTTTTCGACTTCATCATCTCATCTTTAATAAAAGCAATAAGTCTTGATTTCTGTTCCAGATATCTTGATCGGGATGGTGATTGGTCACCTTGTACCCTCTGCGTAAAGATGCTCCGCGAGAAAGAGCGCGACAGCGACAAAGTGTCGTGGTCGCGTGAACAGTCGGGGGCATCAAGATTCTAGATGATCGCTATGTTTTCTCGTCGTTTGAAGGGGTGACAGGAATCTTCGTCGGGATGGTGATGACACCATTTGACACTGCTCCAAGTGAGTTTTTGTTGGCTTCGGAATCTAGGAAAAGCATAAGAAAGAAAATGTTCATCAAGTTTGGTAGGAGGTTTATCGAAAACTTCTTTCAGAATTTTGGTCGGAATATGGATATTTCACTTCGAGCTGGCGTTTGAACGTGTCTTGCGGTGGGATAAACTTCTCGCTCACCCCATTCGCCTTCGGAAAATGCAACCAATAGTGTGAACTTTTTTCTCTTCTTTGAGCCGTTTGATCAATTTTCAGCTACCGGAACCTTCTTAACGATTATACAACGGCTGTGGGCCTTCAGGAGAAGGAACACAGGAGCGAGCTCGGAGATAGGACACCAAAAGATTTTACTTCTTTTGGCGTAAGAATTTCACTTATTATAATTTTTAAACAACGATTTAAGCTTTCTTACACGTTTGATTCTGTTAAAAATTGGCGGATTCGCTTTCGTCCAGCGAGACATGTTGGATGGGATGATGATGTGAAACCTTGAATAAGGCCGGAAAATAGAAATTTTTTTCTCCTCGGTGAACTTAACTCACAAAAAGAAACACAGGTTAAACATTTATTTTTTTAATATCAAATTAGATGGGAGAACTAAATAAGACTCATTAGCAAAAGACAAATCTTGTTGCACTGATAGATTTTTTCGAGGAAAAACGTAAAAAAACTGAGCGGTCAGTTATTTTCAAAAGAAGTAATTTATTCTTTCATTTCACCATGTACTGGCTTCTTCTAAACTACTCTTTGTACGAATGATTTCAGCACGATCAGCGTCATCAACTGGAACTACACGCTCTTTGAAAAATTTCCAAAAGTTCTGCTGGCTGCGTAATCCAATTTATTCTTTAAACATTTTTATCAATATTTTTTTTGAATGTGTTATTTTTGTTTCCATTGATAAAATCATCGTTACTCCAGTTCAAGCTTTTTCCTCCTTAACTTCTGTGTTGATTCAGAGAAAAGATATTTATTTAGTTGATTTGTGACGGGTTCCTCTTTAAGCTAACTTGTCAGAACTGTTCCTTAAGAGAACAGAACGAAGGCTGGAAGAACCTCGCAAAACAAAAATAATTCATCAACTTGTCACAATTTTATTTTCTTTCTTTTTTTTTATGGACATAGTATTGCAGATACAAACGGTTATTGGCGTCTTTTTTCTTGTCAAATCAATCGACCGTGGCGCACCTCGTTCTCGAAAGCCCTGCTCAACCAAGGATCGGAACTTCAGAAATCTTCAAGAAAAAGGTTTTTTTTACTCATATAGTTTGCTATATTCAACTAAGACGGTACAAAAAAAAAATTAGGGATCATGATACAATTTGAATTACATGGCGTCCGGGGGTTTCGCTCCTAGATTTTTCTCATCTATATCATTTACAATGTGGATGATTTTGTCTACTTCACCCTGACGATCTCAAAATTTGTCCTCCGATTATTCTTCCCTCTCTTACTGATTTACATAATAACCCTAAGTAACTGAAAAAGTGGTGCACAAACTGGCGAATGGGGATTGCTGTCGGAAAAACTTTTGCTATTCATTTGTGCAAACATAATCTTGGAATTTATTTCACACGGCACTTTTTTGACGACCCATGCTCATATTTCTTTGTAAAATGTAGTGTGTAGTGTGCATGCACTGTGGCGCTCTCGCACAGGCATGTAAACTTAACGAGAATGAACATTATCTCTATCTTTCCGATATTCAGTTATATCATCCACTCTCTGACGGCGGTTTGTAGTTTTGCGGAATCATTTTGAACACGGCAACAGAAATACAGCGTCTTTTTTATCTGCGAGATTGATTCGTCTCATGAACAATTGAACTCACTTTGAAATTTTGAAATTTTTATTCAGTCTTCAGAGAAGTTTACCTACTGAGTCACGGATTGATAGAAAAGTTGTTTTTCGTTTCGCGTAACTGTCGATGATTAAGAAGGGCGCGTAGGGCAAACTTTTTCTGTGAAAGTAGAGGAGTTTTGTGCGCCCCGACGATTACTGCTTCTCCATGTAGGATCAGAACGGCTTTTTCTTCCACTAACCAAAACGTCTTCGTAATCTTCATATCTGCAATGTTTCTATGATTAGAACCCTAGAAAGGATCTTCAAAATGCTTTGTATTTCTCTAAGAACGTTACGGAGAACGTAAAATTATGCCAATTTGTAATTGCTTGAGCTGTTTCAGGGTATACATAGAACCCATTTCTGGCTGTTACTCACTTATTTTTTTGTCCTATAGATATTCCTAATTTAAAATTACTGATTCAAAAAAACTCATTTTTTTCACTGTGTCTGCAAAAAGATGTCGTCTAGAAAGAGTATTCTCGCCTGTTGCCTTTCTGATAATAACTTGACCATCTTAGAGGGAAACCGAGTTGTTACCGATCTTTGTTCTGTCTTTTCATACAATTCTTTGGCTGATTTTGATAGATTTTTATTGCTCTCTATTTACCTAATATACTTCTTTCTTTTTGTTTACGTGCCATCCTTCAGAAACATTTAGCTTGAATCTACTGATTTTAACAATCCAAGCATTTTCAATGTTATATCCCTGACATTTCTTTGATATTAATTGTTTGCTCCTTGCCAGAAGAAAAATTGATTGTAAGCGCTCTTATATTTATACCTTTTTATAGAGCATATGTAGTCTATTCAACTCGATTTGCTAGGCGAGACGGAGCAGTGTGCGAGACGCGTATTTCACGAGTTTATTTCAAGCGCCACTGACTATTTGAAAAAGTCGATCACCGCTTTTTTGTATCTTTCATACTATTTCCTAATGCACAAGAGCAATAAATTGATAAAGAATAGAAATAATCAATTAAAAAAGCAATGAACGAACTCTCCGAATAGTCACTAGCGGTTGAATTGAACTCTTGCCGAGAACCGCGAACGTTACGCATCCGGCGTCATTCTTTGCCTCCTTTGTCGTTCGAGTCGGAAAAAGTTCATGCCATGTTCCAAAGTAATTCCGGCGATTTCAAAATTAGACGCGTTATTCGTTTAAAATGGTTTCGGGAAATAGGCACATCCTGTACTCCGGGAAAACGCGGAAAAAATGAGCCCTACAACGATATATCCTTTGATAAGCATTTTTTCCCGCAACTTCTGCGCGGGAATTCAACATTTTGGAGTTATATGGGAATTTTCTACACCAATTTCGAATTCGCGCGTAAAAATTTCGTATCTAACAATATACACTGCGTTCAATAAGGATAGGATCCCCTGGAAATTTTGACTTTCATTGGTCGTTTTTTGGTCAATTTCTTTTCTTGATGAGTGGTTTTTTTGTTCTCATATTATTTGTTTCCAAGTTTTCTACGGTTTTCCTTTCATGTTTTCCAGGTTTAAAAATATTTTATATCGAAAATAGGGAAAAATGACGTTTTTTGAGTTTGCATCAAAATATTTAAGCGAGTGATTTTTCCCAGTACTTTGAATCAAATTATCTGATTAATAGAGACGTTTCAACATTCAGAAAAACAAAAAAAAAGTAAAAAAAAACCAATTTATGTAACGCTGTCTTGTCTCAGCACCAAAATCTGATTAAAAAACTAATTTTCAAATTTAGTGATGTTGGTCGGGATGGTGATAGCATCACCTCGATCGACGTTCGAAACTGTGCGTCTCTTCTTCCGGCGACCCAACCTCGCGAAAGGAAGAAAAACTAACGCGAAAGAGGACATGGTGGTGAGTTGCCTCCTAATCTTTATTTACAGTATTGAAATGAAAAAGGAAATGTTGAACTTGATTATTCATACATCTCGGCAGACTGAAGTCCATTCTCAGCTTAAATAGAGCTTTTTTGAATGTGACTGATGCGACGAAAATAAAGTAATTACTAAGAAATAAAACTTTTATTCCATTTTCCAATCAAAGATACTCATGTTGGCTTGGCAAAACTTTCTTTTTCTTAGTTCATTGTTCATGCTGAATTGATAGATTTGGTCATTGAATATAGGAGCTATTTTCAGCGGATAGACTGCAGGCGGAAGTCTACAGAAAGAGGCTGCTCCGCGAGGAAGAGCCCGACAGCGACAAAGTGTCGCGGTCGCGGGAGCTGTTGGGGGCATCGAACTCTCGATGTCTCCTCGCTACGTGTTCTCGTCGGGCAAAGGACCTGACAGCGATGTTCGTAGGGATGGTGATTCCTCACCGTTAACAAAAGTGAGCTTTTGTTGGGTTCGGTAGTTGAAAATGTAGAGATCAATAATTTTGAAGTTGGTTAAAATTAGGCCTAATGTAAAACGTTTTTTCAGATATGTTGGTCGGGATAGTGATCTCACCGCACAAAGCTTTGTGAAAGCGGTCAAAGTCGTCCTCGAAGGATGTGGACAGCTTCCGCGCATCGTAATCCATCGCTCGGGATTCAACGATGAGAAGTTAGCGGAGTGAGTCTTTTAGCATCGAACATAAAGAAAAATGAAGAGTTCGAAAAAATTTTTCACTCATTCATCTCCAAAAAAAGTATCAACTGTAATACAGCTGAGTTGCCTTCTTTCTCAATATTTATGCATTCAGGCGTCCATTTCGACCGCCATCGCCAAAGCTCTCAGGGACGAGAACATGTCGAGGATTCATGGCTTCTGATTCCAACGTCATAGAAACATCGGTCTGGTGAGCTTTTTTACCTAGAAGGATTTTCAATTAATTTTCATAATTTCAGGTATGTTAGTTGAGATGGTGATCCGCCACTTTGAACTGCGAAACGAACGGCGGAAGAAAGTTTTTGCTCATCTCGTTTTCCTACGGAGCAGAGAATCCAAAGTGAGAACTTTTCTCATTTTTTTGAGCCTTCTGATTCTTTTTCAGTTACCGGAACCTTCTCAACGGTCATACAAAGGCTGTGAGATTTCCAGAAAGTAACACAGGGGCAAACGCAGTAATGTTGATTGGGATGGTGGTAACTCACCTTGAACGGTCTTCGAGAAGATAAGACAGGTAAAATTAAAAGTTTCTCAATATTCAAAAAAAAAAGAAACACTTTCAGAAATAACTTCTACAGACATGTTGGACATGATGGTGATGTCACATCTAAAAAAACGTGAAAAAAACGGAAGGCGTAAGCATCTTTTCGCAATTTCGCAGATTGAATTTGATTTTTCAGGTAGAAGCGAGAGCTCATAATTAGAGCGCGCCGAGACACTTGAAGATTTTTCTTCAATTGGAAGACAAAACCGCGTGGAGGAACGTGAAAAAAAAACGGACGCCGTGGAGGATGTCGGGAAAAAGAGTTCGACCGGGGCCCAGAACTCTTTCTCGCAAGTACTTTTTTTTTTTATTGGTCAACAGTCCGCACGTCCTGAATTACGTGTTTTTTCCGTATCAATAGTTCTTCAGCACGCGAATAAAGAGCGTGCAAAAGTATTGTAAATGCTCAAATATGGAAGTTCTAACCCTTGGAGATCATTTGAGGATGTTCTGAAGGCGTAAGGTTGTGTAGTTTACATGAAGACCCCTCCCCCTTCATCAATTCTGTGTTTGTATGTCTCCCTCCCCTTGGAAATATAAGAATTGTTCTACTATAAGGGTTTTTGGATCCTGGCTATGACTATTAAATAACAGAAATTTTTTTAAATTTCACTTTTTGTTTCAAATCCCACAATTTTTTTCAATTGTTTCTACATTATTTTGCTTTTTTTCGAAATGAATAAATTACTTGACTGATAAAAAATTATTTAATCGGTAAAAAAATTTCTACAGAAAAAAAGAGCAATACGTCAACGAAAAATTCAAACGAACAAAAACTTTTTCAAAAAAAGTAATCATTTGAGGTGTTCCAGTGAAAAAAATCTAATTTCTCAATTTGAAATAACTGAAAAAGAAATAAAAGAAGAAATGATGAAAGGAGATGGATCGGAAAATTCTCAGCCGTCGAAACGACATCGATCCAGTAAACGGAAAAAAAGCTAATAACGAAGGTTCAAAAAAATTTCGGCGTGGAAGAAAATCCAAGTGATACCATATAATAAAAATTGTGAACTCTGGTTTCACAAAGGAAAAAAATCTTCTTCAAAACTATCCGAAAAAATTGAAAAACTTTCTCAATTTGCTCTTCAGACACTTTATCAAACGTAAAACTCGTGCAAGGAAATGAAAACTCTCCAGAAAAATGACCAAATCTTCATTCTTGCCACGAAAATAGTCCAGAGGTTATTTTTCAATTGTTCACGTAATTGATGGCGTCGTTGAAAGCTGCGAAGATCGTGTCGCTGGAAGTTGTCGGGTTGTCGAACGTAGAAGATTGAGATTGAGAAAATGTCTGAAAAGGTTGAAGTCAAGTTGAAAGTATCAATTCGTGAGTGACCTATTTTTCAAAAGATGATTTTGAAATTAACCGGAAAAAAAGTTATTTGCCTTTTGAAAAGGAAAATAGTTTCTTCACTGACCTGTGACTGCTGAGAATATCCTTCTTCGGCCTCGCTCATTGCTGGGAAGAACTCAACTTCTGAAATACAAAAAAATTACTTTAAAACTTTTTTGAAAACTGGAATCAAAGAAGGCTCGCTGGATTTTTTTTTCGAAAGAACGAACCTTTAGGAAAACCCGGTTGGTCACTGAGGTCATCAATTGATTTTTTTCCTTGATTTTTGTTGGTTAAATTTTTCAATGCCATAGATAATGCCCAACGCTTCTTTCTCAATTTGCGCATAATTCTTCTCGGATCCGGTGAGAGTTCTAGATGCGTACGCTATCACTTTCTCTGTACCATCACGGTACTTGTGGTATATCACTGCACCTAGCCCGTAATCCGACGCGTCCGTCGCGAGCACTATCTGCTCTGTAGGGTCGTAGTGTGCCAGTGTTCCACTGTCTACCAGTATTTTCTTTATTTTATCTATGGCCATCTGCTCCTTTTCTCCCCAAACCCACTCAGCATCATTTTGTCGCAACCGATTCAACGGTGCACTTTCAGATGACAGGTTTGGTATATACTTCCCGTAATAAGTTATCATGCCTAAGAACGACTGTAATTCCTTTAAGTTTTTTGGTGGTGGCATCTTGACTATGGCTTCTACCTTTTTTGAGGACGTTTTTACGCTTTCGGCGTTTACTATATGTCCCAGGTATTCTATTTCCGGTTTGAGAAATTCGCATTTCTCTTTCTTCACCCGAAAACCATAGTCCTTAATTCTCTTCAGCACTTCTCTTAATCGTTTTATGTGCTCTTCGTCGGATGGCGCGGTTATAGTGATATCGTCCAGATAGACTATAACTCCGGGAACCCCCTGCAACATCGTTTCCATTGTTTTCTGGAATATTGCAGGAGCCGATGCTACGCCAAAAGGAAGTCTTTCATATCTAAACAGTCCTTTCAATGTATTCAATATCAGATACTGTTTAGATTCTTCCTCCAATTCCAACTGCAGATACGCATCTTTCAGATCGATCTTTGAGAATTTCTGTCCACCATTTAGTGCATGAAATAACTCTTCCGGTTTCGGAAGCGGGTACTGGCTCACGTCCAGCCAAGGGTTTATGGTCTGTTTAAAATCTCCACAGATTCTTACTTTACCCCCTGGTTTCGGAACCACCACCACAGCTGAGGCCCATTCTGCATGTTCGACTGGTACTAAGATTCCTTTCTGTACCATTTCGTCGATATTTGCCTCAACTTGTGGTTTCAAAGCAAATGCGATTGGTCGGGCTTTACAAAATTTTGGCATTGCCCCCTGTTTCACATGTAATTTTGCTTTGACTTTTGTGCACGTACCCAGGCCGTCTTCGAAAATCTCTTGGTAATCAGTTAACACTGCCTCAACCTCTTGAACAGAGTTTATCTTAGGCATTTCATTTACCAGATTTCTTAACAGTTTTGTGACATCGAGTCCTAATTGGCATATTAGATCTCTGCCACAGAGATAAACGGCCTTGGTGTTTAACACATGCAGTGTTACGTGCGCTTTCTTATTCTCGAACTCAACCCACGAACTGAACTTTCCTCTGAATTCAATTCGAGAGTTCCCGTAAGCCTTCGCGGTATACGCAACGGGTGTGAGTCTTGGTTTTCCCAGAAGTTCCCACTGTGGGATACCAATTATACTCATGGAAGCGCCGGTGTCCAGTTCAAAATCAACGTTCGTACCGTCTACTTTTATAGGTACCATGCATGCCGGATAAATGGCATTAACCACATTTTCCATTTCCGCTAAATTTACGAAATCCACTGATTCACTGTCGTATTCTCGATCATTAGTGACATAGTGTGATTTTTTACTTTGGAAATGTTTTCTTTTATGGTTTCCTTGCATTTTGGAACGTGATTTACTATGTTGACTGCTTGACTTTTTGTTTCTATAGCAATCTCTGGACATATGACCTAATTTTCCACATGTAAAACACTTCATTTTAGCCTTATCTTTGTATTGGCCATCTCGTCTTACCGGTTGACTAACCGTGAGAAGTGAATGTTTTACTGTGGCATTATTTTTAGTCATCTTTTGGCTCTCTTTTTTCGCGGCTGCTAACACAGCCACCTCTTCGAGTGCTTCCGGTCCCGTAAGCTTAACTTTGTTCAACAACTGCGCTCTGACCTTTTCCTCTCTCAACCCTCTTACGAATAACATTGTAACCATCATATCTAATAAATTTGTTACTTTTGTCAAATCTCGCAGTGGGTTGCGATCTTTCTTAATTCCGTATAGAATTCCTCTGCTGTTTGACCTTCTGTTTTGGACAATGTTTAATAACTTCACTCTTTCTGCCAGCGTCAATTTCTTTGGCGTGTAACGCTTTCTGAGCAAAATTATCAACTCGTCGTACGACAGATTTTCTATAGGTTTATCAGACAGGGATTCTATTTCTGCGTAAACTGTGACACCTATTTCGCATACTAATATGCACGCTTTTTCCGTATCAACAGTTACTTTACGCATCTTTAGAAAATTGTTGTCACAGACCAGACGGATGGCGGAGATGGCGAATTCAAGAAAACTTCCCGTCTGATCGCAGGGGCGGTGAGTCTTGGATTGGTTCTAGACGTCTTCAAAATGACTCTATAGTCATTACGATCAGTGACACGTGGTCTTCCAGTGCGTTGGCTCTTAGTAGAGCCATCTTGAGCTTTTCAACGCTTTAGGAACTGAGAAACGCACGCCTCTGTCACGTCGAACATTCCTGCCAACGTCATCATGGTCAGTCCATTTTGACGACCCACAACGATGGCTCATTTGTCGTTATCAGTCAAATCCAACATTTTGGAGTTATATGGGCATTTTCTACTACAATTTTGAATTCGCGCGTAAAAATTTCGTATCTAACGATATACAATGCGTTCAAAGGATAGGACCCCCTCGATTTTGGACTTTCTGGCGAAATACGGAAAGATATCAAAAATCTGTAAGTGCCATTCAATTCAGAGTAAAAAATAACCCCCAGAGCCAAACTTTCATTATCCTAGCACTTTTTCTACGAAAATGCCATCGAAAAAAAGGTTTTTCGACCGTTCAATAAGGATAGGACCACCTGGAAATTTTGACTTTCATTGGTATTTTTTGGTCGATTTCTCTTTTTGAAAAGTGGTTTTTTTGTTTTCATACCATTTGTTTCCAAGTTTTCTACGGTTTTCTTTTCATATATTCCAGGTTTAAAAAATATTTTTTTATAGAAAATAGGGAAAAATGACGTTTTTTGAGTTTGCATCAAAATATTTGAGCGAGTGATTTTTTTCCAGTACTTTGAATGAAATCACCTTCAAAAACTCTTTGAGAAACGGTTACCTTCTTTCTCAATATTTATGCATTCAGACGTCCATTGCGACCGCCATCGCCAAAGCTCTCAGGAACGAGAACGTGCCGAGGGTTCATGGCTCCCAATTTCAACGTCATAGAAACATCGGACTGGTGAGCTTTTCACCTAGAAAGTATTTCAATAAATTTTCATAATTTCAGGTATTTTAGTTGATATGGTGATTTGCCACTTGGAACAGTGAGTTTTTTTTTTTGCTTCGGCATTAGAAAAACAGAGGTGATTTATAAACTTTAACCAAAATTGATAAAGGTTTGTCAATAACTTTTTTCAGTCATAATGGTCATAATGGTGATATGCCACCTCAAATGAGGCGGCCAGAAGTGGAAGAACGTGTCTTGCGGTGGGATAAACTTCTCGCTCACCCCACCCGCTTTCGGAAAATGCAACCAATAGTGTGAACTTTTTTCTCTTCTTTGAGCCGTTTGATCAATTTTCAGCTACCGGAACCTTCTTAACGATTATACAACGGCTGTGGGCCTTCAGGAGAAGGAGCACAGAAGCAAACTCGGAGTCAGGACACCGAAAGATTTCACTGCTTTTTGGCGTAAAAATTCCAGTTATTTTAATTTTTTTAAACAAACATCGATTCAAGATGTCCTACACGCTTAGTTCCGTAGAAAAAAATGGGCGGATTCGTTTTCGTGCAGCAAGGTAATATTAAATAAATTTTTTTGTCAAACTTAGGAGAAAAAAACAGACGAAAAATTTATTTTTTTATAATTTTAGTAAGGTTACTCGGGATGGTGATAACTCACCTTGAATGGCATTCGAGAAGATAAGAAAGGTAAAATTAAAAAGTTCCTCAATATTCAAAAAAGACACTTTGAAAAATAACTTTTACAGACATGTTGGACAAGATGGTGATGTTTCTTATTGAATAAGGCCGGAAAATAGAAGTCTATCTCCGCGGGGAACTTGGATCACAAAAGAAATACAGGTTTAATTGATTTTAATATCAGATGAGACTGTAGAACTGAATGAGACTCATTAGAAAAGGACAAATATTGTTGCACCGAAAGATTTTTAGGAGGAAAAAGTAAGAAATTTGAATGATTGGTTTTTTTCCGCAGAACAAATTTAGTTTTCCATTCTTCTGGAAGTTTGATGTTCTCTAAACTCCTCTCTGAAAAAATTATTGCAGCACGATCAGTGTCATCGGCTGGAACTGCGCACTTCTCGAAGGATTCCTAAAGGTTCCGCTGGTTGAGTAATACTAATTCTTCTTGAGGAATGTGAAAAAACGGAAGGCGTAAGCATCTTTTCGCAATTTTGCATATTGAATTTGATTTTTCAGGTAGGAGCGACGGCTCATAAGTAGAGCGCGCCGAGACACTTGAAGATTTTTCTTCAATTGAAAGACAAAACCGCGTGGAGGAACGTGAAAAAACGGACGCCGTGGAGGATGTCGGGAAAAAGAGTTCGACCGGGGCCCAGAACTCTTTGTCGCAAGTATCTTCTTTTTTTATTGGTCAACAGTCCGCACGTCCTGAATTACGTGTTTTTTCCGTATCAATAGTTCTTCAGCACGCGAATAAAGAGCGTGCAAAAGTATTGTAAATTCTCAAATATGGCAGTTCTAAACTTTTGAGATAATTTGTGGATGTTCTGAAGGCGTAGGGTTGTGTAGTTTACATGAAGACCTCCCCCCATTCAGTAATTCTGTGTTTGTATGTTCTAAATGTTACAGGTTTTTGTACTTCTTTTTCTTGATTTTCTGTTTTTTTATGGTGACAACATGCCCCTCCCTCCTTAGTGATGGTTATTTTTTTTGGATCCTGACTATGACTATTTAATAACTGATTTTTTTTTATTTTGCTTTTGTTTCCAAATCCCACAATTTTTTCCTGATTGTTTCTACATTATTTTGTTTTTCGAAATGAATAAATTACTTGGCTGATTAAAAAGTTTATTTAAACGGTGAAAAATTTCTACAGAAAAAAAGAGCAATACGTCAACGAAAAATTCAAACAAACAAAAACTGTTTAAAAAAAGTAATCATTTAAGGTGTGCCAGTGAAAAAATCTAATTTCTCAATTTGAAATAACTGAAAAGAAATAAAAGAAGAAAGAAATGAAAGTAGATGGATCGAAAATTCTTAGCCGTCGAAACGGCATCGATCCAGTAAACGGAAAAAAAGCTAATAACGAAGGTTCAAAAAATTCGGCGTGGATGAAAATGCCTTTTGAAAAGGAAAATAGTTTCTTCACTGACCTGTGACTGCTGAGAATATCCTTCTTCGGCCTCGCTCATTGCTGAGAACAACTCAACTTCTGAAATACAAAAAAATTACTTTGAAACTTTATCAATTTATATCAACTTGAACTGTTTCAGGGTGTACATAAAACCCATTTTTTTGACTGTTACTCACTTATTTTTTTTGTTTTATAGATATTCTTAATATAAAAATTACTGAAAAAAATATTCAAAAAAACTCATTTTTTTCATCGCGTCTGTGAAAGATTTATAGAATGAAAACTTCACACCGGTTGCCTTTCTGACAATAACTTGACCACATAAGAGTAACTTCGAAATGTTACGGAACTTTTTCTGTCTTCTTTTGACAATTCTCCGGCTGATTCTAATAGATTTTTATTGCTTTCTGGATGCCTGATACGACCCACCCTTTCTATATTCGTTCAACCTTCGGAAACATTCGGCGTGAATCTGCCGAATTTTCAATCCATGCATTTTTGATGTTTGGGATGGTGTTCCCTAACATTTTTTTGGTAGCAATTGTTGGCTCCATTCGCTAAGCATTTAAAAGTTTGCACTTTTTTTTCGAAAAACTCCGTCAAATTTTACAGCTTGAGAAAAGACGTCTCCGAAAGCGAACAAGCGCGAGGCAATCGCCGAGGGCCTCCAAGACTCCTGAGCCGACAATCTCCGCGAGCGGAAGAAAAACGAACGCGGAAGAGGACACTGTGGTGAGTATTTTTAAAGTTTCTACATTCAAATACGATTTTGTCTATGAAGCATACAAAAGAAGTGCCAAAAACAGCGGAAACTCTTTTTTTCCACTATTTATTGTAGAGGAACTGGTCATAGAGGTTTTTTGAAGGCATTTTTTGAGCATACAGTACCGTCAGAAAAGATACGAAAAAACGCAATTTTGTGAATGTTATAAGGAATCCGATCTTCCTGGAAGTTTCTGAAGCTGCTTTTTTTTGAACGGAACATCTACCAGTGTTCTACCACTTCTATTCCATTCGAAACGTAATTCGAATGCTAAGACAAGAGCGAAATTTCAATTTGTCCTTTTTTATTAAGTACCTGTTCTGCTAATCAATATTTTGTAAAAACTCAGAAGAAACAAGAAAAACAAAGCGGAAATGGAAAACGCGTTTTTGTCCTGCACCAAACTTTGGTTAGGAAACGATTTATAAATCTCAGGGATCTTGGTCGGGATAGTGATCCGACACCTTGAATGGTGCTCGAATGCGGGCGTCCATCTTTCTCGTTGGCTTCGAAAGAGAAGGAAAAATACAAGTAAGACTTGAAACCTTTAACGGAACTAGAAGGAGAGCGACAACTCATCGTTTTTATTTCAGATATCCTTGTCGGGATGGTGATTATCCACCTCCTGCGAAAACCTACAGCAAGAGACTGCTCCACGAGAAAGAGCCCGACAGCGACAAAGTGCCGCGGTCGCGGGAGCGGCAGGGGGCATCGAATTCTCGATGTCTCCGCGCTACGTGTTCTCGTCGGGCAAAAGATCTGACTTCGATGTTCGTCGGGATGGTGATTTGTCACCATTAACAGTGCCCAAAAGTGAGTTCTTGTTGGGTTCGGTAATTAAAAAAATGTGAAGATCAATAAACTTGAAGTTAAAAAGAGGCTTATTGTAAAACGTTTTTTTCAGATATGTTGGTCGAGATAGGGATCTCACCGCACAAAGTTTCGTGAAGGCGGTGAAAGTCGTCCTCGAAGGATGTGGACAGCTTCCGCGCATCTTAATCCATCGCTCGGGATTCAACGATGAGAAGCTAGCGAAGTGAGTCTTTTAGCATTGAACATAAAGAAAAATGAAGCATTCAAAAAAAACTTTCACTTTCTCATCTCCAAAAAAAAGTATCAACTGTAATACAGCCGAATTACCTTCTTTCTCAATATTTATGCATTCAGACGTCCATTGCGACCGCCATCGCCAAAGCTCTCAGGAACGAGAACGTGCCGAGGGTTCATGGCTCCCAATTTCAACGTCATAGAAACATCGGACTGGTGAGCTTTTTCACCTAGAAAGTATTTCAATAAATTTTCATAATTTCAGGTATTTTTAGTTGATATGGTGATTTGCCACTTGGAACAGTGAGTTTTTGCTTCGGCATTAGAAAAAAACAGAGGTGATTTATAAACTTTAACCAAAAATTGATAAAGGTTTGTCAATAACTTTTTTTCAGTCATAATGGTCATAATGGTGATATGCCACCTCAAATGAGGCGGCCAGAAGTGGAAGAACGTGTCTTGCGGTGGGATAAACTTCTCGCTCACCCCACCCGCTTTCGGAAAATGCAACCAATAGTGTGAACTTTTTTCTCTTCTTTGAGCCGTTTGATCAATTTTCAGCTACCGGAACCTTCTTAACGATTATACAACGGCTGTGGGCCTTCAGGAGAAGGAGCACAGAAGCAAACTCGGAGTCAGGACACCGAAAGATTTCACTGCTTTTGGCGTAAAATTCCAGTTATTTTAATTTTTAAACAAACATCGATTCAAGATGTCCTACACGCTTAGTTCCGTAGAAAAATGGGCGGATTCGTTTTCGTGCAGCAAGGTAATATTAAATAAATTTTTTTGTCAAACTTAGGAGAAAAAAACAGACGAAAAATTTATTTTTTTATAATTTTAGTAAGGTTACTCGGGATGGTGATAACTCACCTTGAATGGCATTCGAGAAGATAAGAAAGGTAAAAATTAAAAAAAGTTCCTCAATATTCAAAAAAAGACACTTTGAAAAAAATAACTTTTACAGACATGTTGGACATGATGGTGATGTCACATCTAAAAATGAGACCGGAAAATGGAAGTCTTCCTCCTCGGTTCATTTGGATCATAAAAAGAAATACAGGTTTTATTGTTTTTTTAATATCAAATGAGACTGAAGAGCTAATTGAGACCCATTAGAAAATGACAAATATTGTTACACCGAAAGATTTTTTCGAGGAAAAAAAAAAAATTTGAGTGACTTGTTTTTTTCCGCAGAACATATTTAGTTTTTTATTCTTCTGGACGTTTTGATGTTCTCTAAACTCCTTTCTGAACAAACAATTGCAGCACGATCAGTGTCATCGGCTGGAACTGCACACTTCTCGAAGGATTCCCAAAGGTTCCGCTGGCTGCGTAATGCAAATTCTTATTTAAATATTTGAAAATTTTGTATCAATTTTTCTTTTGAATATGTTATTTTTGTTTCCATCAATAAAATCATCGTTACTTCAGTTCAAGTTTTTCTTTTTTCTTGACTTCTGAGTTTCAGTGGGAAGATATTTGCTCGCTTCGCGTATTTCGAAGCAAAGATATTTAGTTGTTTTTTGTCGGGTCGCCCTGGGATCATCTCGTTTTCGAAGGTATTGCTCAACACGGATATATAATTTGAGGAACTTTCAAGAAGAGGGGTTTCGCAAAGTGTAAACTGCTTTGTCATCTGGCGTCTTGACCCGAACAGTTTATTGCGCAACGACATCGATGCTCCTGGTCTGATGTGTACGCCAGGGATGCACGAGACGAGATCTCGTATTAATATCCAACTCTTGTTCTGGTTTATGAAAACGTACTTTTTTTGAAAGAAATTGAAAAAAAAGCAGTAGTTAAGGTTTTGAAAGAAGTCAACTCTTGCAGATTCGTTGAGAAAACGAGAACTGAAATAATGGAAATATAGCCATTTTCATTGGTGTCTTCCGTGACTTTTCGAAGTTCATCCCGCTTCCCCGATACTTCGTTTTGGATGGAAAGTGATTTTTGAGTTCAGAAAAATGAAAAAAAAATTTGTGACGATATAACAATTATGTTTATTTCGAAAAATAAAGAAATTCCCATGGTAAATCCCTTTGTTAAGAACAAATTTTTTCCTTTAATTTTTTTCATTTGGACTCAAAAATCACTGTTTTGGTTCCGTGCAGGCACTTGATGGTAGGAAGGAATATTGGTTCCCCGAATATTCGGGAGCGTTAATTGTGCATACACCAATCTTGGATGCTCGAATCTTTGAAAATTTGAATCTTTGAAAACGATTCTTGGGGAAATACCCCTCTTTTTTTAATTATCATCTTTTCTTTCCTTCATTTTTTTTCCTTTGTCGTTCTATTGTGAGGATGTTGTGTTTCGACCTCAAATAAACACTGTGTGATTGTTTTCAACTAACTTTTTATCAAATAATGCGTCTTTCTTGCATACATTTTGTCAAAGATTCACTGCAGAACGGCTACCACATCTCCATTCACTCTGTATACATTCTTCATCAATTTCCGTATTCAAAAAAATTGAAAAAAATATAAAAAATCAGAAAAGAAGTGAATATTCCCAAGCATTTGTTTTCAAAGATTCAAATTTTTCAAAGATTCGAGCATCCAAGATTGGTGTATGCACAATTAACGCTCACAAATATTCGTGGATCCAAAAATTCCTTCCTACCATCAGGTACTTCGTTTTGACCTTTTTTTCAAAGAAATGTGTTTGAATTTTTTTGCATTATTATATCATCGAATTCGTTAGTAAAAAAATTTATTCTGCACCTTTATAGTTTCCAACATTTAAAAAGCAGCTCAGCGCGAAACAGGATGCTGCATCTTTCCAGTTGCGACTTCTTCCGTTTTTCTGAACATGATTAAGTTTTTCTCAGCGAAATACCTTACAAAAAAGTGTTTTGAGGATCTTATTGAAAAAATTGAACTATTTTCTGGTAATTTAATGATTTTATCTCTAAACTCTCTAGCTCTTACATACCATTTCGCAAAATTGCTTGACCCTTTAAAACTTCTAAAATTGGATTTTTGAGAAAGCTAAAAAATGATTTTCTCTATAGAAATTGGAAAAAATTTTTGAAAACTCACATGGCTATGTTTTTGCATCATATGTATTTGCAAGGGAGCAAGAACGAAATGCGCCTCTCCGCGGGTTGGGCAATTCACATGCATCTGAAAAATTTACGAACGATTCGACATACGGTACTTTCACGTGGTAGGCTTTATGGTTATCCTAATTAACATATAATCAATTGCCGTCCGAGTTACTTCACACTTATTCAATTTTCTGTCGATTTCTAGCTTACCACGTTGCCGATTCCTGCTGTCGCCACCTGCTGAGTAACGGCGACCGAAATGCGGTTGATCATCTCTTGATTATTATAAAAAGCGCGGAGCAACGATGAGAGATCCGTCTAGAAGATTCAGAAAAAATTCACAGTTGAGACGTGAAATAAAAGTTTAAATCGAAGAAGGTTCCAATGCTGTGTGAAGTTGGTTCACGGGGCCGGTTTGAGCCATCGAAAAAAGGGTCCTGACATGTTGAGAAAAGATACAAGCCTGGTTAATAGAGAGCGCAGAGACAGGCCACGCCTTTTTGCGTCCCAAACTAGCCGTGAATAAGTTATATATCCAGCTCTTAAAACAGTCTTTTTCTCTGCGCTCTCTTCTTCCTTGACGACTTCACTCTAACACTATTGAGGGAGAAGAGAGCGCAGACATGTCAGAGAAAGGAAGAAAATTAAGAACCGCAGGAATCTAACAGTTTCTCTAAAACTTGAAAAAAAACAAAGTTAAGAGGATTGAAAGTCAGAAATATAGAACTTTTTCCTCGGGCAAAGTCGGTAAGGTGAATAATAGCCACTATAGGGAGAGGCTCAAGAAAGAGTTTTCCATTTTTCTGGGATTTCAAAAGATCAAGAAATGGTGGAAAAAAAAGAGGCAGCAAAAATGGTGCACAAAAGCCGATAAAATGGCGCAAAAAGGCAGCAAAAGGGAACATTTCTATAGAACCTTTTCCCACCCTTTCCGACTTAGCCCATGCAATCCGAATTTTTCGAGGTTCATCCTCCAAAATTCTCTACGAATAAATAACAGAAGCTGCTCTATTGAGAAATAAATTGGAGTAGCCCATAAAAAGCTTTTTTCTTCGAGAGAGAATTTCGGAGGATGAACCAGTAATGCTGACGCGCCAAAAACCGTTTTTTTTTGCTTTCAATAAAAAAAAACTGACCACTCCATGGGCTTTTTCCGAGTGTTGGTCGATTCTTGTGGGATCGACATAGGGTTTTTGGCAGATGAGGCAAGCGAACTTCTCCACCTGAAAAACTTTGAATTCTTAAAAAAATTAAAAAAAGAAAAAAATCTGCATTGTGAAGGGCAACAGATCAAGATTCACATGTACGGGGGTGGGCATAAATGTTGCACGGACTTTTCGATCACTCCAACTTTCTTTTTTGCCAATGGAATTTCAATCTGTTTTTTTTTGTTTTCCACTTTGCAAACCGTCGCTGGTTCCTCCAGCAAGATATTAGGTCGAGCTGCAAGCCCCGAGCTGAGCAAGACTAGTGCGAGTCCAATCTGCCCGATTTCAACACGGTCAAGGAATGGACCGGCTACTCACCAGATTCGAACCCATTGACAATTCTGCATATTTATATTTGAAGTCGAAGGTCTGGACGAAACTTTATTTTAACCGAGACCCGCTGATGGTCTCCATCATCAAGAATGGATGACAAGATCGATCTGTGTCCAAGGGTCGAATATTTTTTCAAGAGAGTCAAGGCGCTCAGTGAGGCCAATGAAAATCGGAGCGAAGGTTGAATTATATGTGCTAACTTGGATACTTCGCCGATAAAAACTGGGCTGTCAGTTATGCTCATCTCACGTATGGTTTCGGCACTTTTTAAATCTGGTTTTAAGTTCCTTAAAATTCTTTCTACTTTCAGGGAAAAGCCTGACCTAAAAATCACCCAAAAAGTTTTATTTGATTTTTTTGGAATTTTGAAATCATCCGCACTCAAGAATATGTAGACCTAAACCATTTCGAGCTCAAAGATCTTCAAAAATTAAAAAAAACCAATCGACTTTTCCAGCATGCCAAGATAATTTCAATGTCCGTTTTTCTTGACTTGAAAGTGCGTAACTTCTCTGCGACTCTCTCTCATGTTACCATGCTATTTTCATTTTTCGCTAGCCTAGGTGGTGAGAGAACAGAGAGACCCAGACACGCGAAAACGACTATAGCGCTTCCGACAAGATTATCTTTTTCTAAAGTCGGCGAGGGAAAAGAGAGCGCAAACGGGTCGGACTGTTTCAGAAGGAAAGTTCTCAACCTGGTGCACCGGATCGAAGAAGGTGCCCGATCCTCCGGGCATGTCGTCGGGAGAAGCGACGCTCTGGGGCTGCCGGGAGCTGGAAGCGCCCGATGAGCTGGCTTGGTCCAAAGCTGCCAACGGTACCGCCCGGGGCTTAAAGGTAATATTACAATCAATCTGACTCATCTCATTTATGGTTTCGGCGCTTTTTTTTTCTCAAAAATCTGGTATTGAGTCCCTTAAAGTTCTTTCTACTTTCAGGGAAAAGCCTGACCTAAAAATCACCCAAAAAGTTTTATTTGATTTTTTTGAAATTTTGAAATCATCCGCACTCAAGAATATGTAGACCTAAACCATTTCGAGCTCAAAGATCTTCAAAAATTAAAAAAAACCAATCGACTTTTCCAGCATGCCAAGATAATTTCAATGTCCGTTTTTTTCTTGACTTGAAAGTGCGTAACTTCTCTGCGACTCTCTCTCATGTTACCATGCTATTTTTCATTTTTCGCTAGCCTAGGTGGTGAGAGAACAGAGAGACCCAGACACGCGAAAAACGACTATAGCGCTTCCGACAAGATTATCTTTTTCTAAAGTCGGCGAGGGAAAAGAGAGCGCAAACGGGTCGGACTGTTTCAGAAGGAAAGTTCTCAACCTGGTGCACCGGATCGAAGAAGGTGCCCGATCCTCCGGGCATGTCGTCGGGAGAAGCGACGCTCTGGGGCTGCCGGGAGCTGGAAGCGCCCGATGAGCTGGCTTGGTCCAAAGCTGCCAACGGTACCGCCCGGGGCTTAAAGGTAATATTACAATCAATCTGACTCATCTCATTTATGGTTTCGGCGCTTTTTTTCTCAAAAAAATCTGGTATTGAGTCCCTTAAAGTTCTTTTCTACTTTCAGGGAAAAAGCCTGACCTAAAAAAATCACCCAAAAAGTTTTATTTGATTTTTGAAATTTTGAAATCATCCGCACTCAAGAATATGTAGACCTAAACCATTTCGAGCTCAAAGATCTTCAAAAATTAAAAAAAACCAATCGACTTTTCCAGCATGCCAAGATAATTTCAATGTCCGTTTTTCTAGACTTGAAAGTGCGTAACTTCTCTGCGACTCTCTCTCACGTTACCATGCTATTTTCATTTTTCGCTAGCCTAGGTGGTGAGAGAACAGAGAGACCCAGACACGCGAAAACGACTATAGCGCTTCCGACAAGATTATCTTTTTCTAAAGTCGGCGAGGGAAAAGAGAGCGCAAACGGGTCGGACTGTTTCAGAAGGAAAGTTCTCAACCTGGTGCACCGGATCGAAGAAGGTGCCCGATCCTCCGGGCATGTCGTCGGGAGAAGCGACGCTCTGGGGCTGCCGGGAGCTGGAAGCGCCCGATGAGCTGGCTTGGTCCAAAGCTGCCAACGGTACCGCCCGGGGCTTAAAGGTAATATTACAATCAATCTGACTCATCTCATTTATGGTTTCGGCGCTTTTTTTCTCAAAAAAATCTGGTATTGAGTCCCTTAAAGTTCTTTCTACTTTCAGGGAAAAAGCCTGACCTAAAAAAATCACCCAAAAAGTTTTATTTGATTTTTTTGGAATTTTGAAATTACCCGCACTCAAGAATATACAATAACTGCTTCAAAAAAATGTTGAAAAGGTCGCATATTGAGACATTTTCTCAAAAAAGTACTTTCAAAGATTGGCGTGGAATGTGATGTACTGGATGCACTACGAGCAAATTAAATGAGGGGAAATTGCAGACTTCCAAAATAAAACCAGGGATGCACGAGACTTGTCTCGATCTCGTTTCGAAATCGTTTGGAGAAATTTTCTTGTTTTGGTTTTGAAAAATCACTTCTCGTGCAACCTTGGTTAAGACACTCACTAGAGAACGTTTTATTACCCCCCTTCGGTTGAACTTTTTTGCTGAAACTTTGCTGAAGGGTACTTTTAAGACCTCCTGATTCCAGAGAGAAAGAAAAATTCTCGCAATAGATCTCGTTTTCGAGTTAGGACACTTCAAAAAGCCCGAAATAGCGCGTTTTTTTGGCCTAATTTGCGTATTTTTGCACACTTTGAAGTTCCAAAAACTTGAAAAAAATCTATTACGAGAAATGTTTTTTTCTTGATCTGCAATCAAAAAGGTCCCAAAGTACGCTTCAGCAAAGTTTCAGCAAAAGTTCAACCGGGGGTAAAAACGCTCCCTGGTAAAAACAAGTCCCGGGAAAAAAACGTTTCCTGGTCAGTGAAAAAAAGTCGTCGGATAAAGCAGATCTCCAATGAAAAATGGCTACAATTTTGCTCTGATCACTAATAATCGTTACACTATTCTTACGACACTGTTGAAAAATCCAACAAGGGAGGTCTTCTTGATTTGAAATTTTAAGCCTAATTTTTCAAACTTCAAAAATCATTATCTCGAAAGCTAGAAGCTGGGGCAGGTTGCAACTTGGATGGGTCGTCAAAGAAACCTTCAGAGATAGTTTGAGCAAATTTGTAGAAAATTCCAAAGCGCCAAGTAAGAGACCTCCCCTGTAAACAACATTTGGAATGGCTGGACGCATTAAATTTCCTGCTCAAAAAGATCGCGATTGTGACATTTCTAATAGTATTTTTCTTTTCCGACTTCTGCCTCGAGCCATTCCCAATGCAACCAACGCCAAAAATACCTCTAAACATACCGGCTGGTTTCTTTTGCTTCCTGGGCTGAGCCAAAACAGCAACGCCATCCTTCATCTTCACGACTTGAGGAGTCTGAAGAAAGGTCAATTTTTTTAATGATATAAATTGTCAGAAAAAAATCAGCTACTGTGTCTGTTTTATTATTATCCTTAGGCTCAGTTTGGAAAAAGCAGAGCTGCGCGGCCGGCTTTGACAGGTCTATAAACTGAGCTTACAAAAGTGGTCCCTACAGGGGACATGCTAGTCGATAATTGTTATGTACTCTAAGCGGAAAAGCCTTTTATAGTGAAAACACTTTTTGAATGAAAATTGAAAGACCCCTGTAGGGTCCACTTGAGTTTTAGGGGCTAAGGAGTCAGACCCTAAGACCCTATAGGGACCACCTTGATTTTACCCCTATAAAGATCACTTTTCGGCGCCTACAGGTGTTTTTTTTTTCAATAATCCTTTAAGGGGCCACTTTACCTATAGGGATCCCTAAAGCTTCAAAAATGGTCCCCATAGGGGTTTCAGTTGGCGGCCCTTATAGGGGACATGTTATGAACTCTAACTGGTGAACGAAGAAGCATTTCCACAGGAAAAACTGAAGAAATAAGCTTTTTTTCCCCCTAAGCCCTATAGGGATCACTCTGGAGCTCCTAAGTAAGGATCCTCTAACCTTGGAAAAATTTTTACGGCCCTGGGGACCGTCGGAGGGGGTTTCAAAACCTTCACAAATTTTCAAAAATCAAAGGGTTGCTTTTTGAAAAAGTCAAAGAAGTACCGATGTTTCTGGGACTCTTTCTTGGGCCTGCTCTTCCACCGAGTGATTAGCCATCAGGAAATCGATATCGAAATTATTGCTTATCAATTTCCTCGGGGTCGATTTCTGAAAGGAATGTGAAAAAAAACTGATTTTAATGGACTTTTTTTCAGTTCAAGATGAGAACAGATGGTCTCAAGAGACGGCAGAGAAATAGTCGCTCTCTCGTCGCCTGGCGTCTCTTCAGACGGCCACTGTTCTCTCGCTTGAGGTGCAAAAGTTCAAGCTTTTTCGTTGAAATTTTGTACAGAGGTTCTTTAGGACCTTCTGAATCCGAAGAAGTTGAAAAAATACAAAAAATCAATCTTCGGTCTCCAAAGTGGTCCCTATAGGGGCAACTTTCTGAAGAGACGCCAGAGAAAAAGAGAAACTATGACTTCATTGTTCTCTTTTTGAAAGGAGAAGCCATTTTTTCATCTTAAGGGAGGAAAAAATAGCGCTGTTCCAAGGAGACGCCAGAGAAAAAGAGGAACCTTCATTTCTTTAGCTTCTCGAGAAAAGGCTCAACGAGAGAGATGTCAGAGAAAAAAAAACACTCTCGCTTCTCTGACGTCTCTTCAGGTCGCTACAGTCTCTCACCCGCGGTTTTCTCGACTAAAAAACAAAGGATTATTGAAATAAAAGCAAGAGAAAAGTGTTCTCTCTAGTCGTCTGGAGTCTCTTCAGCCCACCACTGTTCTCTCACCCGCGATTTTCTCGACGACCAGTTCAAAAATAAAGAAAAAGAATGAAAGAAGCGCCAGAGAAACATATTTTCTCTAGTCGTCTGGAGTCTCTTCAGACCACCACTGTTCTCTCGTTTGAATTTTTTGCCAGAAAAAAAAAATTTACCACTACTCCCTGACCGGCCGCATTTGTGGAGAAGGACCCCGTGGGTTTGGAAAAATTGAAGGCGTTTCCAACGACGTATCTTTCTTGATAACTTCGAACAAATTCAGTGTTCGTCGGATACTCATAACTGGGTCCTGTCTGGCACTGAAATCGAAAATTTTAAAACCAAATACCAAAAAGCGTGAAAAATCGACTTTGTTAACAAAAAAAGTACGGTACCTTGAGAAATCTCTTCAGTAGCTCTATATCCCTTAACATTTCGCTGAACCTTTTTTTAAACGCGGAAAATTTGTGATCAGAAAAAAGGTTGAAAATGATACTACGTTTACATTTTTTAAATGTGATTGTTTTATCAAGTCAATCTCACCTCATAGCCCAAATCGCGCGAGAAAGTGGCCAATTGGCGTTTTTTTCTCTTTCAAAGTCCCTCTGAAAAAAACAATTTTTTTAAAAACAAAAACTGAAATAGAATGCATATTTCAATGAAAAATGAAGGAAAACGAACCGGAGACATCGTTCTGCCGGCATCTTCTGGCCCCAAGCTGTAAAAAGAACCATGTGACATTTTTGGAAAAATGCAATTAAATTGATTTTTGAATGAACGAAGCTGAAAAATATTGAAAAAAAGTAGCTCAGTCCAAAAAAATTTCCATTTCTCATAACTTTTTTTCGAAGCCTGATTATCGAACAATTAAAAATCCAATACCTTTTCAACTTTATTAATGTTAATGTGTTATTGCATTATGAATTCAAAAACAGAAGAAGTTGAAAAAAATTTGAAAAAATTATCCAGTTAAAATATAAAGAATCGATGATGATGTACACTCGCGCTCCAATGCGAATTTTTTTCGGCTCACATGTAGATTTACGCGGGAATTCTCAATTTTTAAATCTGTCTTTTTAGGTCTTACATTCTTTTTAGTTGATTAACCTCGATTTATATCGTAAAACTCGATTTTCTGCAAAAAAATAAAAAAATAAAACTCACTCAGGACTTTCGATGTAGGCGGGCTCCGTCTCTCTGAAACCAGATAAATGATAAAAACTTCTTTTATAGGCCTAAAGAATCGTTTTTATTTTTTTCTTTTATTTTTTTAGCAGTTTCGCGTTCAAAAAAATTCTGGAAAATTTTTTGAAATAAAAAAAGAACCAACACCGAGCACGAACGATGAACCGAGTTCGCGGGGGAAGAAACGACTTCATTCGCCGGAACTTGACTCGACCTGTTAAAAAAATGGATAAAAATGTGAAATTTGGGAGTAAAATGACCATCCACTGCAAGCTTCGAATCAAATTTTTCCTGGATTTTTTTAAAAATGGCCCGCTGTTTTCTGGCCACGCCTTTGTGTCGTTATCTAAGTCTCAATTTACAACTCAAAAAGCATGACTTCTGTCAACTATTTTTAATCGGCAGACTCTTCGCCAGCTTTATTCACATGTAAACTTAGAAACAATCAAACCTTGTGAGGGGATTTTTCGGCGAGAATTTGGATAGTTTTCCAGAATTGGATAGTTCCTCGTATCCCGACACTGGAGACCCATTGTCATGACTTTGGGACGGAACAGGACCTTCATTTCCGACTTCTTCCGGTTCAATCTCATCGGGAACCATATTAGTCAGAGCCGATCCTTCTTCATCGCTAAAAAATCAACTTGATTTTCCGTTTAAACAGAGAAAAACTATTCTTTTCAAAGTCCGTCCGCCGCGACTTGATCTTTTTAGTGTCTCTCTTTCCTCGCCGGCCAGAGCAAAAAAAAGAACAGTTCAAAATGAGAGGGCTCAGAGAGGTCCCGCCCTTTTCAGGTCTCGAAAAACGGACCATATTATGATTCCTACTCTCAGAAAAAATACAAAGGATTCTCCAGATTGAGATTTCAAACTTCAAAAAGGTAACTCCACCCTTGGGGATACGGTATCATTCGCGTCGATGTTTTATTCCGCGTAATGAGGCTCCTTTAAAAGCGCTGCATTTTTTTTGACTTTCCTTTTGCATTCTAGCATATCCCACGTCATCTTCTCCTGTTTTTTCGAAACACCGTCGACGGATAGAATTAAAATTGGCTATATTTCGTTTCAAGACCTTTTTTCTTGCAGTTTTGGAGTAAAAGCGCAAAAAAGTTGTTTCACGGTAGTTTTCTTTTTCTGATATTTTTTCAAAAAGTAACCTTTTCGCGCGGAACACACTACTTAACATCTCCAGATTGGTCACTATAGGGACAACCTTCGAGGGTCCCCTCTAGGGAACAACCCTATAAGAAACCCTAAAAGTGGCGGAGCCAGCTATTTGACAACCAAAAATCAGACTGTATGCGAACTCTTTCAATTTAACATTTGAGTCTACTTTAGACAAGGTTCAACTGATTCTCACCTCGACTGAGATGGCTCCGGCTCTTCGACCTCCTCAATGAGCTCCTGTCCGAGCTGAGGAAGCTCATTCCTGTCGCCCCGTTGACCCTCTCCTTCTTCTCTTTCGCCGTCACTGAAAGATGGACGTTGCGAAGAAGAAAAAGTTTTAAAAAGTTAAATCTTCCTTTTTGTTCGGCTAAAAAAAGGATAAACTTTTGAGCTGATGCAGTTAACATTTACCTCGGATCGTTGTTTTCGAACGCCTGAACTTCATTTTCAAGCCGTGGACGTTCGTTGACTTCAGAAGAAGCTCCTTCTTTCTCTTCCACTTCTTCGACGACTTCTTCGACGTCGACGTCTTCTTCATGCCCTCCTTGTTGTTGTTTCCCGTCTCCAACGCTGAAAATTCAACTTCATCTCAACTCAACAAAATTTAAAAAAACTTAATGAGCCCCTTTTTCTTTTAGCTAACAATTTAAAAAAACTTTTTGAACTGATTCCATGGAAATTCACCTCAGCAGAGACGAAACGCTCTTCTCGCTTTCTGGAAGCCCATTTTCAAGCTCAAAAGGTTCATTTTGAGCTCCTTCTGCTTCATCTCTTTCTTCGCCCTCGCTTAAACACCATCTTCATCTTATTTCACAAAGAAGTTCAAAAATGGACCTGTTCTGAGGATTTTCTCGCTCTTTGTCCTTCATTAGCTCCTGCTGCTCATTTCGATCAATAGAATCTCTCCTTTCTCGATCTTCATCACCCCCGCCTTCGCCTTCGCCACCTGCTTCATTGCTGAAAATTCAAGTTCTTGGAAAAAAAAAGAAGCATGAAATTAAACTTTTCTATTGATCCATTTGACTCAAAACAATTCTGACAGTAAAAAAATACACTTCTGAAAGTTCAAATTCACCAAGCTACGATTCTAAGATGGCTCCAATTACTTATTAACATGGTCAGTTAGTGCTTCTCATCATTCGGAGACGAGCTGATTGTCGTAGAAAACCATTCCGGAACGTAAATATTTGCCTTCTCCGTACTGATTAGCTACGGTTGAAGGATTCAATGACGCCTGATATTTTGACGCCTGATATATGGAGCGATTCAAAAAAAATGAGCGACCACTTTACAAAGGGAACGCATTCGTGTTTTGGAAGACAAATAGAAAAAAAAAACTCACAGTGATAAATAATCATTTGTTGGCCCATCCGCTTCCTTCCATTTTGTACAGCTTTTCTTTTTTTCTTTCGTGCACTCCTCTCTTTTTTTGTCGCGGCCGGCTCGTGTTTTTATTTTGATTTTATTCATTAACAATTTTTTATTGACCTTACTTTGATTATAAATTTTTTTGAAAGGAAGTTATATATAATAAAAATAATTAATCATTGTAAATATTTTTTTGAAACACTTTGATTTGAAAAGAGTTAATAAAATTGTTGTTTTTGTTTTTTTAAACGGTGAAAAGTGTCATACACAAACAGTTGGTAATGCCGGCCACAAGAGAAATGGGTGTGTGCTGAAAAATATTATCTTTGCTTGTCAAAAATTGTCAAAAAGTAAAAATCGATGAAAAAAATCGTGATGGGACAAGTTTTTATATAAAAACTCTTCAAACAAATTGAAAAATGATTCAGAAGTGGTGAAAAAGGAAACGAAAGGGATATATTATCTAGAAAAACACTAAAAAGTACGATGTGATGAATTCATGTCAGAATATCCATACAAAAAGAAAACGATGACAAAAAGAGTTCAATGTCTGCAAATGCTCGTGGGCGTGAACCGTGTATGCACCATTGTTAGAGGCGCCACTTTCAAAAGTCTCCTCTACTTTTTTTCATGATGATATGTGTAAACTGATACAAAACTTTTTGGAACCTTCTTATTCAATCATAAATTTTCTTTGTGTGAGTTTTGTTTTGGAAGCACTTGGTTTCATAATAAAATGTGATGGATATCGATTTTCACAGTGATTTCAAGTCTACAGCTTATTACTGTTGTTTTTTTATTCAGGAGGAAAGTATATCTTCATTTCTCAAATTCGGACTTATTTATCAAGTTTTCCATGAACATAAGTTTGTAGGGAGCGGAAAAGTTTCGACTTTCTAATAAATCGAACGTGTTTAAAGTACCATTGAACATTGATAAAAAGAAAATTCTGAAAGGAAAATGTGGTTTTTTTTGTGATCGAAACCCGAAATTAAAGGAGAAGGATGAAAAAGGAAAAAGTATTCATAAACGACTGGAAAATACGGGAAAAAGAAAAGCTTCCTGACCCGAAATCGAGTAATCGACGTTCCAAGACTGAAAACTTCAAGAAAAAATTAGAAAGAGGGCATTACAAGGATTATTGCGGGACCTTATTTTGCTGGTACAAACATTTCATATCTTTCGATTTTACAGAAGTTTGTTCAACGAGAGTTTTCTCATTCTAATATGTAACATGCAAACTGCTTAAGCACAGGGTCCCGTATTTCCTATAAACTCAAACTTTCTTGAGAAGGAAAAATGTATGACTAAGAAAAGGCAGAAAATATTAATTAAAACATTCTATGTTGGACTGAAAAAGCAACGCGCATGGTTGTTTCTAGTTTTGAAGATATATGAACATTTGAAAATTGCGTTAAAACGTGATCTCGTTCAGAAGGATTTCGTTTTCTCCGTGAGACATCGGATCCCAGTTGGAAGCGTAGTGAAGTGTTGGGCAATACCGGTTAAGCTGGTTCGAATTCCAGTCCAACAGAGAACGTTTGAAAACATTAATAGTATCTTCTGAACCCTTCGCTAAAAGAAGAGAGGAAAAAACGGGAACTGAAGAGTGGGAGAACCGGAGGACATGGCAGATGTGCGAGATTAGTCTCCTATAGCAAGGGGCGCGGCCAAAAGGTGGGGCTCAAAAGAGGCGTGTCTCGAGCCTCCTACATGATCTCCCTTCCCTAGAATATGATGTAAAGAATGCACTATTAGGGGAGGATCCTAATGAGCATGTTGGACACAATTATCGAGCCGATGCCCCGAAGAAGCAAGGCTGTTATCCAACTTAAAGACTATGCTACCGATTATTTAATTGTCTCATACAGAAGTTTTTTATACCGGTTTACGGGCTTTGTCCAATTTTTGTTTGCCGATTAACTTTTTTGCGGTTTTGATGACGTTTCAAAAAAAAATTTTTTCAATATAGTTTTTGAAGTAGGTTCAAACCAACATTTCAAATCGTCTATAACAGTTTACTTGATTGGTTCAAATTTTAGGTCAAAATGATTGCTTTTGACAAAGTTATAAACGAAAAACCAAAAAAATACTCACCCGTTTCCGCTACTGTATATTCTTTTTTCTATAGTCTGTTCCTAGTTAAAAACTGGGAAACTATGATTTCCCAGGCGTTTGGATGCCTAAAAATTCCAGTAAGTGGTCGAATATCTTCCAGATACTTTTCTAAAATCTCAACCTAACCCCAAAAGGCTACTGACAGGTGTTTGCAATTTAGTAAATTTCAAAAAAAACTCCCAAAACCTTCGGAACATTTCCCCATGGCCTTCTCAACACTTTCTAGCTTCCATTGACCTTCCAACCTTCTACTGGTTACTTTTCCAGGATTCGCTTTAAATCTTATTTTGAATGTCGACCAGCGATCTCCTTTTTCGTGGCTACAGTATCTTTCGCGTCAATCAATAATTGCGCGTGAGGATTATCCTTTAATGAAGCTGCATTTATGACTCTTCTGGAAGCTATTAGAAGAAAAAAAGATCAAAGCAGGCGCCATTTGGGGATTATCCTGCCGCGAAAAGGTACTATAACGAGCGTACATATCCTCTATATTCATATTCTGAACAGACTACATTGATAAAAATTGGACGCCTACCGTTGAAACCTCTCATCAAGTATAACAGTTGAACTTTTCGATAGGCGACAAAAAGAGCGGCAGAGTTTTTGATTAAATGAGGCTACTTTACTGATTCTTATCATTTTGATAACGCCGCTCAGACAACAGACCGGCAAATAAGAAAATCGACAAAAATAGAAGTCTTCGTACTCGGAAAAAACGGAATGAAAAGTCTTTTGCGCTGAGAAAGGTGGCTTCTATCGCACAGAGGTTTTTCTTAAATTACGTCCCTGTGTTTGAGTTTGTTCAGATCAAATGCACGCGAAAAATCATAGCGGAAAATGACAGAGAAAAGAAACAAAATAATGCTGGAAAACTTTTTCTTTCAAAAAGAGGATGTCAGATTAATGTGCATTTCGGAGTTTTTTTCTGAGGTTAATTCAACAAATGACCTGAAACTGTTGATCAAATGGGAAAAAAAGAAAAAAATCGAGAAGGTAATCGAAAAAGCCAGACAGGGTCTCTGGACCAAGATTTTTATCAAGGACCAACGTTGAAAGAAGGAGTAGACAAAAAGTCGATTTTGAAAAAAACGGAACAGGCGCTAATTCCTGGTTTTAAAGGACGTTCGGCTGAGTTAAAAAAACAAGATAAAAAGTTTGAAAAAAACAGAGGGAAAAAAAGGCGACATCGAAGAGCTTGAGATTCATTGGTTTTTTGCAAGATCCGATTAAGACCGGAATCCGAAAAACTAGTAAATCTTGTTGAACCTTTCAAGCAAAAAACCATTTATTGCAATACACACAAAATCATTTGTTTTCCCTCTTTCAGCTCTTAGTATTTTTCAATGAAGCTTCTTTCTTTCTTAAAGAATTTCTGCAGAGTTCAGATTGAAAAATAAGAAATGGTTTTTCTTTGAGACGTGGATTGAATCCTGCAAGTAATTCAACCTTTTTAAACTGAATCATTTGGAAAAATCTTTTTAATTCTATTGGAAAAATGACCTGATCGAATATAAGAATAGAATGTACTCTGAAGCCAATGAACCAAAATTTGAAAGTCTAAATCAGAAAAAAATTTATCGTTAATCGAGTCTCAAAAACTGAAATAAAAATTGATGAACGAGTTGAACATTTTTCATGACTGAAAAAGTAGCCATTACAGGAACTGAATGGCTGTTGAAGTTTAATCCCCGACTCTACATGTTATCGACCCACGAAGATCCCTTGAGATTGATTAATAGCCTCCTATCAACAAATGGCAGACGTCGCAGAATGTAAACTACCCGGTCATCTGGCGGGTTGACCCGACAAGTTTATCGCGCAATGAAAGCGAGGCTTCTGGTCATATTTAGATTTTCGTATCTGTCATGTCTCAAATTACATCGTTCCCCGAGAAGAAAAAAAACCAAACAGACAAAAGCCCACTTTGAGATATTCTATTGATGAATCGGGGGTTCCACATACTACCTACTCACCAAAGAATGCCGACTGTTAACGATTGAAGAGCCCCTCATCAGGCGACACAAAAATGCGTTCCGGCATCGGCAAAAGAGCGGCCAAAAAGATGATTACCCTACTTGAATCTGTTTTCGGAGACCTCAAGCAAATAACAAAATACTCGGAGGCATGTGCGCAGAAGAAATGGGTTTCGAGACGATCTGACATTTTATAGAGCTCTTCTATACGTTTCGATTTGTTCACTTGGAATTGTACACAAGATCCTAGGTTTGGAAAAAAAAAGTAAGAAGAAAAAGGAACCGTTTATTTCAGTGTAATATATGATTCACGGCCAGCTTGGGACGCTGAGAGGGCGTGTCCTGTTTATGTCTACTCCTTCTTTCAACGTTAGTCCTTGATAAATTCTACTTTTTAAGCATCGTGTATTTCATCGAAAATAACTTAAATACCGGAAGCTTTTTTGAAAAAAAATATTTTATGCAACAGAAGCCCTCTTGCTTTCCTTCTCCACGAAGAAGATTTCTCATTACGTTTTTTCTATTGAAAAGTCTCGTCTCGTGATCGATTTTCTCATTTTCCGGCCTGCTGTCCGAGCGGCGTTATCGAAGTGATAAGAATTAGTAGAGTAGTCTCATTTAATCAAGGAAAACTTTTTCTGGCCTGACAAAAATTTTTACTGTCAAACCTGGTGTTGGGCTTCTGCAAAAGGGTTCAAACAATACTAAGAAAACCTTTCAAGATTTTGAATTTTTAGCAGCGACTTCCGCTCTGGTAGCTGCAGTACCTTTTCGCGTGGAATAATTATTGCGCGTGAAGATTATCCTCGAACAAGGCCTTCTATGATCTTTTTCCTTCTAACAGCTTCCAGTCAAGTCATAAAGGCGGCGTTATTAAAGGATTATTGTCACGCGCAATTATTAATCGACGCGAAAGATACTGTAGCCAAAGAAGCGAAGAACGATTTTCGACATTCAAACAAGATTTCAACCAGTAGGAGGTTGGAAGGTCAACAGAAGGTTTTGAAAATG